GGGAGCCGGCCTCAGGGCATTCGGGGGAGAAGAGTAACTCTGGCCTCCTTGAGGCCATGAGGGTCTATGGTGACTGCAGAGAGCCTGCAGAAAGGCCTGGAGAGCAGGGAGGAGTTGGTGAGGCTGGAGCCACAGAGGGGCTTCCTGGAAGAGGCTGGCCCTTGGAGGCTGTGTAGAATCTGGGCGTTTCGGGGGTGGCCTGAGCTGCAGTGGTGTGTGAGAGGCATGTGGGTCAGTGGCTGTCCCGTGTGATGGGAGCACAGGGGCAGAGGCAATGAGGCTGGGCCCACTGGGGGGGGGGGCGGGCCCCTGGGTGTTCTTCCTGGGGTGTAGAAAGCCACAGAGGGTGGGAGAGGGGGGCAGTGGCCAGAGCACTCTCTGAAGGTAATCTCAGGCTGGTCTGAGGGGGCGCTGCTCCCTAGCCTGTGTCACCCCAGGGGTTACCTCCCCACCCTGCTTTGTCCTTTGAAGCAGATTAGAATCCTGCTCTTGCCTCTGCAGCCAGAGCCTTGGCAAGGCATTTTACCTGAGACCCTCCACTGTGCCGCCCTCAAAATGGGGATGACAATCACCAGCACTTTTCAGGGTGGTGGCGAGGGTTGGGACTGGCACTGGCGACAGCCTCCAGGAGGTGTGTGTGCGAGATAGATGTGTGAATCAGGATCCCTGCAGCCGTCCCATTTCCTGATGAGTAAACAGGTCGGACCTAGGACCCTCTAGCTCTGTTTCCTGAGCCACAGAGAACACAAGTCCAGCCCCTCACCCCTGTCCCTTCCCGCCCAGCCTCTGGCGCACTCTGGCGCACACGCACGCACGCTTCCTGTTCATCCGGCAGACATGCCTGGTGTGCCGAGGGCCCGGCCAGCCTGGATCTAGGCGGTGCTCTGTGTGCAAGCATGTGCATGGGTGTGCTGGGTAGCCCACGTGGAGCGCAGCAGGCCGCTGGGAGAGCTCCCTGTGTGGGGCGGGAGGGGAGAAGTCTTTGGACTGCGATCTCACTGCTGGGTGGGAAGGACTAAGTAATCCTATCTCTGTGGCAAAGATAGGTTAGAAAAGGCCACAGAGAAACAGACCCAGAGACAGGGAGACAGACAGAAAGACAGGACAGACAGACAGACAAGTGAGATACAGGCAAGACAACCTTAGCACCTGATTTTACTAAGACGCCTGGCTCTAGTAAGTGGACCGTGGCTGGAGTTTGGCTTCCACTCTACCCTCAAAATGGTGCCGCTGTGCAGTGAATATACTGTGCAACTGTACACGTCAGCCTTAGTATATAGAAAGGAAAAAAGAGAGGCAGGAAGACAGAGACCAAGAAGCTGACGAGGGAAGGGGGAAAGTCAGATAGCAAAATGTCTGATGAAGAACAAGACAAACGTCAAAAAGGAAGAGGCAGAAACCCTGGAGCTTGGAGGATTCTGTTTTTGCATCAAACACATCCACCAAGCAGGCTCTAGTCTGAGGTTCTGTTCCAGAATGGTCACTGGAACCAGCAGTACCAACCCTTGCAGAACCCTGAGAGGTGGTGGGGAGTGATATTCTCCCATTTTACAGATGAGGAGATGGAGGATCAGAGGACTCGAGTAATATAACTGAGGTCACACAGCTTGTAAGGAACAGAGATAGGACTAGAAGCTTTGTACTCCAGGATTGGAAGTGGTGAGAGAGAGAGGGAGAGGGAGATGGAGAAGAGAGGAGGGGGCAGCAGAACCTAGAGAGGAACTAGCGTTGGTGCTCAGGCCCCGGGAGCCTGCTGGGAGAAGCAGAATTCAGGCATTCTGCCTTGTCAAGAGCATCTGGCTTGAAGATGCACCTGGCGGGCAGCCCATCGTTTTGGGGGATCAGGTTCCCCGGGGAGCCTGGCCCCCTCCTGCCCGCACTTCCTTTCTCTCTGTCAGCATTTGCGGCCCCATTCCCATTCCCGGATCAGCCTGGGGGTTCTTCAGAGAAAACAAGAAAGTTTTCCCTGGAATTAATACCCAAAGGTGTCAGGGGGAGGGGGGAAGGGGGCCACGTTGGGTGCAGGAGGAGGAATGGGACTGAGGACACTGCCATGGAGACAGCTAACGTTAACTGAGCATATAGGCTCTGGCTCTAACCACTTTATCTGGATCAACTCGTTGAGTCTGCACAGACGCTCTACAAAGGAAGTACCCATCTCATCCCTATTTCATAGGCAGGGAAACTGCAAGCTGGGATTCACACCCAGGCTTGAACCCAGGGGCTGGGGGTGCAGAGCTCAGGGGTTATCCTATGCTACATGACTTCCCAGAGAAGCTGGAAGGAGCGGTGGGGAGGTCCCTTCTGCTGTCTCACTTCCATCACTCTTACTCTCTGCTTTTTTTTTTTTTTTGAGACGGAGTTTTGCTCTTGTTACCCAGGCTGGAGTGCAATGGTGTGATCTCAGCTCACCGCAACCTCCACCTCCTGGGTTCAAGCAATTCTCCTGCCTCAGCTTCCCGAGTACCTGGGACTACAGGCGCGTGCCACCATGCCCAGCTAATTTTTGTATTTTTAGTAGAGACGGGGTTTCACCTTGTTGACCAGGATGGTCTTGATCTGTTGACCTCGTGATCCACCCGCCTTGGTCTCCCAAAGTGCTAGGATTATAGACGTGAACCACCGCACCCAGCCTAATCTCTGCTTTCTGTAGAAATGGATCCTCTTGTCCACCAGGAACCCCACCCCTACCCCTGCTCCCCCAGAGCCTACACTCAATTCCTTCCTCCTAGGAGGGGCTGGGGCACAGTGACCATAGGGGGTTCCCTACCAAAGGGAACCAGCTGAACTGGAGTTTGGGGAAGCCCAGGGAGGGTGCTCTGGTCTTCTGTGTGGGCTTGGAGGCAGAGAGGGCTGGGATCTCAGGGCCTGGCCAGAAGCCCAGCCGATTTGCATCTCGAGGTGGAGGAGAGAGAAGTGTCAGCTCATTCTTGACTGTAAACACATCTTGGTTCCCACGCTTCTGATCATATTTTTGTGGCAGCCCCCACCCCCGTCCCCTTCTCCTGTCCAACCCCCTGCCAGCTCCCCCACCCCCATAAGAGAGGCTTTTAAAAGGAAGATGCAGAGCCCCTGGGCTTCCCGTCTGGGCTCGGGAAAGAATGGAATTATGGGGAGGCTTCTGCCAGCAGCCTGGATTTGCATCCCAGCTCTGACGCTCCTGGCTGTGTGGTCCCGGGCAGGTTTCTTACCTCTCTGTGCCTGCTTCCTCATCTCTGAAGTGGACCGTAACACCTACCACAAGGAGTGAATGTAGACTTTGAATGTGATGATACATGTACATTGCTCAGCACCCTGCCTGTGTCAGCTCAGTGAGTGATACGTGGGGTCACATTATGATTCTTGGGAGGGAAGGTGTTTGAGTCCTTGAACCAGAGGCTTGGAGGGTGAAGGCTGAAGGAGAGGGCTCTGTATGAGAAGAAGCAAGCCTGCTGGGGAGGTGCTCCAGGGCCCCCCACACTGAGTGCACTGTGGGCCCCCAGGGCAGATCAGGGGCCCAGGAGTGGTCTGATTTCACCCCCTTGAGGGGTATGTTGGGGCCCAGTGCTGCTGTGGCTGAAAGGGGCTGGGGGAGCATGGGCCAGCTCAGGTGCCCCAGCCCCTCAGGGACAAAGGCTCAGATGGGAACAAGCCTGGTGGCTCTGGGTTCCTGGTCTGGCCTGTGTTCCCTTCTCAGGGGCAAAGAATGGTCAGGCCAAACCCTTCCTCTTCCGGACAGGACGCCCACCTGATCTATCCCCTCCCTGGGCCACCCACTGGTCTCCCCTGACCCCACCCTGGCTTTCAGCCTCTGGGCTGACCAGCTGATGCCTCCTCCGCACTCCGGCCCTACCCTGAGGACCCTTGGGAAAACAGAACCTACCCACCCCTCTAGCCAGCTAAGCTTGCAGCCATCCAGAAGGGGGTGGGGATTAGAGCCAGCCCTTCCTCATGCTCCTCTTTCTCCTCCAGTCCATCTCAAAGCCTCCCATCCCCTAGAATTTGGCTGGGGGGAGGTGACAGGGATGGCACCTGGGTGGTTGGGGTGACAGGAATGGGGGAAGGACCTTTTCTAGTCCCCACAACTGCTCAAGCTACACGGTACCTCCTCCTTGGGCCTTAACCCGAGTCCTTCCTGCAGCAGGGGTCACCCACGCCACACCGCCTTTGGCTCTGGGAACAGGTCCAGGGCAGGCGGATGCCCGGGGGGTCCCCGTGTGGCTCAGGAGATGAGTGAGGCTCACCCAGGGACAAGGGTGATGAGCCTGGCTTCAGATGTACTGAGCTGCGGTCCAGTCTGAGCACAGGGGCCCCAGGCCAGGGCCAGAGCTGAGGGTCCAGGAAGAGGGGAGTGTGGAGATGGAGAGACGAGGCAGAGATGGATGGAGGGAGGGCTCAGGTCCTGCCCACGGCCTTGGCTGCCAACCACGAGGAGGAAGAGGTGGGGAGAAGGTTAGCTGGGGCCAGGCAGAGCGAGCCCTGTAGTGGGCATTGGGCCTGGGAGGATGGCTGGAGCAGGGCAGGGTGGGAGGGGATGGTTTGAGGACGCTGGGAGAAGGGATGACTCCAGGAGTGGGGACGTGTATGGATGATGTGAGCGGAGCGCTGGGACACTCTGGGGAACGTCTCTAGGGCACTCCTGACCCTGTCCTCTCCCCTGCAGAGGGGGCCGCAGTGTCCACTCTGGAGACAAGCAGCCAGAAAGAGGTTTCTGGTCATAGCCCTTTGCTATGCTCCACACTGCGTTCAGGATGGTGGGAGGACGGAGCCACCCCCGTCATGCCGCCTGCTGTCCCTCATCCTAGCCAGGCTCTGTTTCCTGTTTTCAGGCTTCATATTTGAACGCTGGGATCCCCCCCGGGACATTCCCTGGTTCCCAGGCCCCAGGCCCCAGGGCTGAGCTGTGGGCAGGTCCCACCTGGTGAGTTACTTGGGGACTGAGGATGGATGGGAGGAAGCACAGAGGAGGCTGGAGGCTGAGATTCAGCCGGAGGGAGGTGCGATGGGGTATGGTGGCTGGGCTGCACTGGAGGGGTGGGTAGATGCTGGCACAGGGAGGAGGGGCGGGCCAGCCTCCTGGATGAAAGGCTGCTGCCAGGTTAAAGATGGAGGAGGAGCATGGCATTGAGATGGAGTTCAGTTAGGAGCCCAGACCTGGAGGGAAGGAGGGGCTGCCTTCCTTGGGGCTGAGAGGGGCAGTGGGGGCCCTGGGAGTGTGTGGGTGTGGGGTGGGGCCAGCATTCCAGAGATACTCAGGGGGGTAAGGGGCCAGCAACCGCGACCTTTCTCTCTTCTCAGAAAAATTATAAGCAGATGTGGGCGCCTCGGGGAGTGTAGAGCAGGGAGCCAGAGAGTTTTGGGAACACGGAACGCAGAACCTGAAGCCGGCCGTAGGGGTGGGCGCGGCAGGAGCTCAGCCTCTCCTGAGCTCAGGAGCTGAGGGAGCAGAGTTGCATGAAGTCCCGGGAGCCGGAGGTGGTGGGGATGGAGAGGACCCCATTTCCAAATGGCCGACAGAATGTGAGGGAGGCGGGAGCTTTTTCTTAAATGCAAGGTCACCAGGTTGGCGACCTCCTCAGGCGATGGCCCCTAGAGCTGCGTGTAGCGTGCTGGCTAAGGTGTCACTACTGACTGTGGGAAGCGGGGACTGGCCTTGGGTTGTAGTGTTTGCTAGTTTCTCTGGTGTAAATAACCCCCATGCCTGATTCATTGAACACGTTGCTAGGAAGAGATGCGTACCGAGCTGGCTCCAGCACACCGCTGGTTGGGAGGTCACCTGGACCCAGCCCCATTCCCACCACATAGACAGTATTGCATCAGGCTGGTTTTGGCTTCTGCCTGCATACATCCAGTGATGGGGAGCTCACCGCCTGAGGCAGCCAATTCCATTCCCGAGCTGCTCTGACTTGGAAGGTTCTTCCTCTGACTGAGCCCAAGGCTGCATCCCTCATCACTTCCCCTCACTGCTTCCGATCTCACACCTTGGTACAAATATCAGAGTGCCTTGGGAAGGGCCTGGGCTGGGGGCTGGGGATTCAGAGATGAAAGGCACTGGGTCCCTGCCTCTGGAGGTCATGGCCAGGGAGCAGGCACTGGAACAGTGGGGTGGGGTGAATGGTACTGGGACCCCCAGAAGCAGTGAGTGGGGTTGTCTGCCATTGAGGGTCAGGAAGTGGAGGAGAGAAGGGGTGGCACCTGGGATAGACCTTGAAAGATGAGAACTCCAGGTGAATGAAACGTGAGGGTGTCTGAGTAATTCATGAGCAAAGACTGGAGGCATGGAAGTGACTGTGGTCCAGGAGCGAGGTGGGGAGCTGGAGCCCAGAGCGAGGGGCCGCAGGACATGGGGCTGCAGTCTGGTGTCTTCTGCAGGCCCACGGCTCAGATCTCTGCAGACAGGTCCTCCAGGCTGCTCGCTGCAGCGCCCCTGCCCACTCTGTGCCAGCCCTGGGGCAGGCCTCTGCAATGTCACTGCCTCTGCACCCTCTTCTTCTCCTGGCCCTGGGCCTGGGGCTGGCTGAAACTCTCAACCCCAGTGATCCCAACACCTGCAGCTTCTGGGAAAGGTGAGAGGGCCCCTGCTGCGCCTTGAGGGCACCAAACCCTAGCTCCCGGTTGTCCCTACTGTCCCTATGGGGGTCCTCCTGTTTACCTCCTTCCTTCTCTCCAGCCTCTCCACTCCCGCCTGTTTCTCTGTTTCAGCTCTCTTTACTCCTCTGTATGTGTTACCACTGACTGCAGCACCGTCTCTGACATTGTCTCAGTCTCTGTCCTGTCTCTGACCCATCCTTTCTCTGTCCCTGTCACTTAGTCCTTTTGGGAGGCCAGCTTCATGGCAGGGCACACAGTGGGAGCCATTCACGGTGGAGCAAGCAGAGGGGCTGGCCCAGGGGGAGCAAAGGGAACAGGGCAGGGACACAAGACCAAGGGCGAAATATAGCCAGAAATGCCCCAACCCATCTCCGCCAGCTGGGCCCAGGATTCGGTTCTCACTCACCTTTCCCATGCTGGGTGGGTAGTGTGGGGAGAGAAAAATGGAAGTCCCTGGGCCAATCGAGTGGGAAGGGGGCTCTGACGGAAGGAATCGCAGGAACCTTCCAGCTCTGGGAGAAGTCCTCCAGACTTGAGAGTGGGGGACAGGATGGGGGTCCCGACCTAGGCTTGGGGAGCCAGCCCCAGTGTTGGGCTACGGATTCCCCACTGTGGCCAAGCCCTCATGGCCGTTTCCGCTGCGTCACTCAGGCCTCTCCCTGCCCTCCACCCTGACCCTGTTCCCTGTCTTGCAGCTTCACCACCACCACCAAGGAGTCCCACTCCCGCCCCTTCAGTCTGCTCCCCTCGGAGCCCTGCGAGCGCCCCTGGGAGGGCGCTCATACTTGCCCCCAGCCCACGTGAGTGCTCGTCATCCTCCATGGGTGGGTGGTCTGCCTGAGTTGCTGTGTTGGCCTGGTCCCTGGCCCTCTGTCCCTGTTCACTTCTCAGAAACTCCTGGCTTCTCAGGACTCATTTTGCGTGGGCTGTGTGGGGTTCGTGTGTGTGGATGTGTGTGTGGTTGTATGTGTGTATGTGTGTTTAGGGTGGGCATGCATGTTACAGTACATGCCTGTGTGAGTGGGGCAAGAAGGAAATGCTCTTTCTTTTTTTAATAGACAAGGTCTCACTCTGTCACCCAGGTTGGAGTGCAGTGGCAAGATGGTAGCTCATTGCAACCTCAAACAAGGAATGCCTTTTCTTTCTTTTTTTTTTTTTTAAGGCAGAGTCTCGCTCTGTCACCCAGGCTAGAGTGCAGTGGCACGATCTCGACTCACCAAAACCTCCACCTCCCTGATTCGAGCAGTTCTCCTGCCTCAGCCTCCCAAGGAGCTGGGATCACAGGTGCCCGCCACCGCCTTTGGCTAATTTTTATATTTTTAGTAGAGACAGGGTTTCACCATCTTGGCCAGGCTGGTCTCAAACTCCTGACCTGGTGATCTACCTGCCTTGGCCTCACAAAGTGCTGGGATTGCAGGCATGAGCCACTGCACCTGGCCAGGAAATGCCCTTTCTATGCTCCCCCAGCCCAGAGTGTTAGGCAGTGCCACCCCCCCACCCCGCCCTGGCCACACTGTTGTGCGGGCGGACAGCTGGGAGGACTAAGGGCCGCTTTCCTGGTCTCCTAGGGTTGTGTACCGGACCGTGTACCGTCAGGTGGTGAAAACGGACCACCGCCAGCGCCTGCAGTGCTGTCAAGGATTCTATGAGAGCAGTGGTTTCTGTGTCCGTGAGTCCACTGTGGGGCTGGGGGGGTGGGGCAATGGAATGGGGGGAGCTTAGCCCACTCTTCTGAGCCCCTCCTGGCCCCCACTAGGGTGGGGTTACTCCTCTGCCCTTTTGGGTTTTTTCCCCTTCCTCCCCTCTCCCTGGCCTTGTCCCCAGGATCAGGAGCAGCACTTCACACCCTCTCTCCAGCTGCCATCATGTCTCCTCCCCCTCTCCAGGCCCCTCAGCAGTCACTGTCTGCCCTAGAGCTCTTGTTCTGTCTCTGGGCTATCTCATCTCTCTGTCGCTCTGTGTCTCAGGACTCGGTGTCTGGGTCTGCCTCTGTCTCTTACTGTCCCTGACTCTCTATTGCTATTGGTCTCTGACTTGTCACCATCCAGTCTCCCCTGCCCACTGCACCCCCTCCCAGCACCCTGTAATGACCGGAGCCTGCCTTCCTCCTCCTCCCACTTCCCTCAGCCACTGCCCATCACTAGCCCCTGGGAACACAGCTCTCCAGCCTGACCCATCCCAGCCCTTACCCGCCCTCTCTCTGGACAGGGTCCATATCCAGCCCCCTTCTGTGGATCTCCCCCAAAGCCTTTTCCCAATGAGGTGCTCAGACAAATTCACAAAAAGGAACAGGAACCCACAAACCCTGGCATCTTGCTAAGTTCCCCCTGAGTTGCTGCCCCTTGGTCTTTCTTTATCTTAGAGGCAGCTTTGGGGCTTGGAGAACTTCTGGTCCCTGCTGTTGGAAGAAGGTGGGGTTAGGCTTTGCAGGATAAAAGGTGGGTAGGGGCAGGGATGGACACGTCTTCTCATTCACACCCATCTCTGTCCCAGCACTCTGTGCCCAGGAGTGTGTCCATGGCCGTTGTGTGGCACCCAATCAGTGCCAATGTGTACCAGGCTGGCGGGGCGACGACTGTTCTAGTGGTGAGTGGCTACTGACCCCAGGGAGTGGCCTCTTGTGCCTTCAGGGCCACAGGACCCTCGGGCACACCCTCCCTACCAGGTCACAGGAGCTTAGGACTCCAGGGCAATTATCTTTGAGAGTCCCTTGCTGCCAGCTGCCTTTTCTGGAGATGTGGAAGACACAGTGGGGTGTGGGGGCTGGGAGACAGAGGCAGGGGCTAACCAGAGGCCAGGGATGGGCTAGACCCCTGGTGACCCCCTTCCTGCCTCCTTATCCCATAGAGTGTGCCCCAGGAATGTGGGGGCCACAGTGTGACAAGCCCTGCATCTGCGGCAACAGCTCCTGTGATCCCAAGAGTGGGGTATGTGCTTGCCTTTCTGGTCTGCAGCCCCCAAACTGCCTTCAGCCCTGTACCCCTGGGTACTATGGCCCTGCCTGCCAGTTCCGCTGCCAGTGCCATGGGGCACCCTGCGATCCCCAGAATGGAGCCTGCTTCTGCCCCGCAGAGAGAACTGGGCCCAGGTGTGTAATGGGGGGAATGACACATTAACGAGGTCGCAGACACAGGGGCACACACACATACACGGGGAAATGAAGTGGCTCAGACAGGGCCCCAAGTGTGGGGAGGGTGTGGAGGCCAGGATCTCTATCCCAGTGGATCCTATCCCACCCCACTAGTGGAATGAGCAAACCACTGACACTTCGTGAGCTTGCTTGCTGTCTGTAAAACGGGAATAGTATTGTCTACATGGAAGGTAGCTGTGAAGAGAACATCAAGCAGCATGTGTGTGGAGGCATGCTGTCAAGGGAGGCTGGGACAAGGACCCAGAGCACCCTGTCACAAGGCAGGGTGCAGGGGGAGCTGGGGAGTCCCAGGAGGGAGCTGGGGAGTTCCTAGGTGGAAATCAGGATGGGGCTTTGTGGAGGCGCTGGTGGAGTTCAGCCCACTGCAGTAACACAGGTATTCCCGAGAGCAGGTGAGGAGGCACACATGCCATGCCACTCGTGGCTCTTGCTTACCCCCACCTGCTGTGCTAGGGTGTCCCTGCCATTTCCAGTCCTGGAACCCTTTGCTTTCTGACTGATAGTCCCCAGCAGGGAAGAGTAAGTGTGAATCACTGAGTCCTGAGGTGGGGGTTGAGGGGACAGCCCTTGGGGGCGCCAGGGGAAGCAGTTATTGCTTGTTTGCACACTGACCTCCCCTGCTCTGTCCTGCAGCTGTGATGTGTCCTGCCTCCAGGGCACTGCTGGCTTCTTCTGCCCCAGCACCCATCCTTGCCAAAATGGAGGTGTCTTCCAAGCCCCGAAGGGCTCCTGCAGCTGCCCCCCTGGCTGGATGGTAGGGAGGGTGGGGCCTGTGGGCATGGGGTGTGGGGCGTATTCTGTGGGTGGTACTAAGCAGGGCTCCAAGGAGGGTGTGAGTGAGGGGTGAGCTCTGTGGGTATGGGGGTATCAGGGGTCCTGTGGCCTTGGGGAGGAGGCTGAGTGCCTGGCCCTGTTGACGTCTCATCCCCACAGGGCATCATCTGCTCCCTGCCCTGCCCAGAGGGCTTTCACGGACCCAACTGCTCCCAGAAATGTCGCTGTCACAACGGCGGCCTCTGCGACCGATTCACTGGGCAGTGCCGCTGCGCTCCGGGTTACACTGGGGATAGGTGAGTGGCGTGGCAAAGGCGGGAGGCTGGCGGAAGGAGGTGGGGCGGAAGGAAGTGGGGCGCCACCAGGCTCACTCGGCTAGGTGCCCAGGTGCCGGGAGGAGTGCCCGGTGGGGCGCTTTGGGCAGGACTGTGCTGAGACGTGCGACTGCGGCCCGGACGCCCGCTGCTTCCCCGCCAACGGCGCGTGTCTGTGCGAACATGGCTTCACCGGGGACCGCTGCACCGAGCGCCTCTGCCCCGACGGCTTCTACGGTCTCAGCTGCCAGGCCCCCTGCACCTGCGACCCAGAGCACAGCCTCAGGTGGGCCGCGGGACACGTGGTCAACGGATCAGGAGGCCAATGGGGAGGTCTTCGGACCAAGGTCGCCACAGCGCCAGGGGTTATCCAAGGGGGACAGGTGTCACAGAAGGGAAAAGGGAGGAGCCTGGGGTACCACTACTTGCCTCAATCCCGTTTTCGGAATAGCGTGGAGCCTCCGTAGTGGCTCCCTTGCCCCAGCGATGTGCGATGTGCGATGTGCGAATCCCACTACGCGGAGGGGTCGGGGAAGCCGGTCTGTCCTGGCCCAGCTCAGACCCCGCCGCGCCCCCGCATCCGCCCCCAGCTGCCACCCGATGAATGGGGAGTGCTCCTGCCTGCCGGGCTGGGCGGGCCTCCACTGCAATGAGAGCTGCCCGCAGGACACGCACGGGCCGGGGTGCCAGGAGCACTGTCTCTGTCTGCACGGCGGCGTCTGTCAGGCTGCCAGCGGCCTCTGCCAGTGCGCTCCGGGCTACACGGTGAGGCGCGCCCCGCTGCGAGGAAGAGAGGCCGGCGGAGAGGCCAAGGAATGGGCCACCCGTCTCACCGCTCACCGTTTTTCAGGGCCCTCACTGTGCTAGTCTTTGTCCTCCGGACTCTTACGGTGTCAACTGTTCCTCACGCTGCTCCTGTGAAAATGCCATCGCTTGCTCACCCATCGACGGCGAGTGCGTCTGCAAGGAAGGTAATTGGATTGAGTTTCCCAGAGAGGACTTGAGGGCCTGGGGGACGGTCGGGCAAGGGAAGAAGGGAGAGTCCAAGAGTATGGGTAGTCCAAGGGCAGGGGAGTGGCTGCAGGGTAAGGGTGGAGGGGGCAGCAGCTGGACAGAGGGAAGCGTCCAGGCGATTTCCTTCCTGGAATATCCACTTTGCCTTCTTCAACCACAAATATGTTACTTGTCCTTGAAGGCTGAGGCCAAAAGACACCTCCCTGGTGAAATCCCTCACCCTCAGTCATAGAGAAACACAATTTCGGTGCTGGGAAGGGCCTCAGATCTGCCAGCGTGGCACGAGGGCAACCTTTAGGCTGGATTCTGATACAGCTGTGTTCTGTTTGGCTAGCTCTCTATTAAGTTCCAGTCTCCCATCTTCAGTCCCCACTACTCCCTGTTGTCCAGCACATCCTCTGTAGAATTCATTTAGCCACCTGATGGGACCCCTGTAAACATTTGGGTTTACTGCCATCCCCTTTATTTTGCAGAAGGCACCCCAGACCCAGAATGGGGTGGTACCTCACTGGAAGGCAGTTAGCCTTCTGCTCAGCATTGAATAGTTCATAGGCTTTTCTCCTGTATGGTGTCATGAACAGCTCCACCCACCCCAGCTCATAGCATAGTAGGATCTGTCCCAGCCAACTCCCACTGTGTGCTGGCTCAGGAGGGGAGCTGGGTCCCCATGCCTACCTACCAGGCCCCTCCTCCAGGTTGGCAGCGTGGTAACTGCTCTGTGCCCTGCCCATCTGGAACCTGGGGCTTTGGTTGCAATGCCAGCTGCCAGTGTGCCCATGAGGGAGTCTGCAGCCCCCAAACTGGAGCCTGTACCTGCACCCCTGGGTGGCATGGGGCCCGCTGCCAGCTGCCCTGCCCGGTGAGTGCTGCACAGCCTGTCTGCCTGGGGGAGGGAGGGAGGGCATGGTGTCCCCCAGCTGACTAGCCTGTTTACTCTCCACTCATTTTCCAAGAAGGGGCAATTTGGAGAAGGTTGTGCCAGTCACTGTGACTGTGACCACTCTGATGGCTGTGACCCGGTTCATGGACGCTGTCAGTGTGAGGCTGGCTGGACGGGTGAGCATTCTGGGGCCCCAGGCCTACTGTGGATTGGGGGATGCACCCCGTAGGATATGTGTCCAGAAGAGCCCACTGGAACTGAAGGGGGCCCATCCAGGCACACCTGATGCTGTCTCCCACAGGCACCCGATGCCACCTGTCCTGCCCTGAGGGCTTATGGGGAGTCAACTGTAGCAACACCTGCACCTGCAAGAATGGGGGCACTTGCCTCCCTGAGAATGGCAACTGTGTGTGTGCACCCGGATTCCGAGGCCCCTCCTGCCAGAGATGTGAGTCTCCCTACTGCCCCCTCCACCTGCCAGCAGCAGGGGGCAGTGTGGTGTCGGATGCCAGGGTTCTCCCCTCTCCATCCCCCTTGGTCTCTTCCTCTGACCTGTCTTCAGGCTAGTTACTGCAGTGGGAGGAGGGAGGGAGACCGTGGGGTAAGGGCGGATTAAGGGTCGGCCTCTGCCCCCAATCACCAGTGCCCCTTTCTCCCAGCCTGTCAGCCTGGCCGCTACGGCAAACGCTGTGTGCCCTGCAAGTGCGGGAATCACTCTTCCTGCCACCCCTCGAACGGGACATGCTACTGCCTGGCTGGCTGGACAGGCCCTGACTGCTCCCAGCGTATGTGGTACCTTGTGTGTCTGAGCATGTGTGCATGCTGAGAGGGGGCGCTGAGGTCGGGAGGCCTCTGTCTCAGTTCCTGGGTATAAAATCCTTGGGTCCACCTTGAGCAAATATTTACCGGGCACTGCCTACCTGCTGGGTACTGTTTTCAGTGCTAAGGATGCAACAGTGAACAGCTCAGGGAAAAAACAATTTACTGCCTTTCTGCATGGGAAGCCTGGGAAGAACAGTATTTCTATGGGAGCAGGGGAAGTCATAGGCTTAGCTTGGGACGTGTTCTTGCTTGTTTGCTTTTTTTATTTGAGACCGAGTCTCATTCTGTCACCCAAGTTAGAGTGCAGTGGTGTGATCTCAGCTCACTGCAACCTCTGCCTCTGGTTCAAGCGATTCTCCTGCCTCAGCCTCCCTAGTAGCCGGGATTACAGGCATGCGCCACCACACCAGGCTAATTTTTGTAGTTTTAGTAGAGACGGGGTTTCATCATGTTGGCCAGGCTGGTCTCAAACTCCTGACCTTAGGTGATCCACCCGCCTTGGCCTCCCAGAGTGCTGGGATTACAGGCGTCAGCCACCACGCCCGGCCCTTTTTTCTTTTGCATTTTTCAGTTTATTTTTATTTATATACTAATAAATACATGTATTTCTTTATTTTGTGAGCCTTTCCCCCACAAAAATATATGAAGATCATGGAAAATATTAGTCCAAAAAAGCCAAGTAAAATGAGTTTGGAAAGAGGAAACAGGCCGTTATGAAGAAGGCTGAATTTCAGTTTACCGGCAGGCAGGGTAGGAAAGGAAGTCATCTTGGTGAAGAGTTTTTCCACAGAATCTGGCTACAATGACTATTAGATTATTGCTAGTGTCAGACACACAATAATAATGCCTTACATAGGATAGATGTTTACTTCTCTCTTCTGTTAAAAACCAAACAAAAATCCACGTGGGGTAGCTTGGAAGCCTTTGGTTGGGTGGCACTGAATGCATTGGTTTGAAGTGGCTATTACATAGCCAAGTGCAGATGTGGAGTAAGGAGGTGGGCACGTGGGTCTGGAGTTCAGGGGAGAGATAGGGCTGGAAATGATCATTGGTTGCAGATACTGTTCAAAGCCTTGGTGTCCCCAGGGAAACCAAAGCTGAGCTAAAGACTTAAGTGATGCTGGTGGCTGAGAGTTCATCTGGGAGGGGCTGTACCGGCCCCACCAGACAGGCCCCTTGTCTCCTGTAGCATGCCCTCCAGGACACTGGGGAGAAAACTGTGCCCAGCCCTGCCAATGTCACCATGGTGGGACCTGCCATCCCCAGGATGGGAGCTGTATCTGCCCCCCAGGCTGGACTGGACCCCACTGCTTGCAAGGTACAAACAGAAGGGGAACTCTGTGCCCCTGCCCCAAATTAGCCCTCACCCAGAAAGGAGACCAGAGTTTCCTGGCCCTCTGATGCTTGCCTGCCTCCTTGGCTGTCTCCCCAGGTTGCCCTCTGTGGACATTTGGTGCTAACTGCTCCCAGCCATGTCAGTGTGGTCCTGGGGAAAAGTGCCACCCGGAGACTGGGGCCTGTGTATGTCCCCCCGGGCACAGTGGTGCGCCTTGCAGGATTGGTGAGTTCTTTCCTTCCTCCTTTCTACCCATTGTCCCCCGGGAACTGGGACCTAGGTCCCTCATACTGTCCCTGCCTTCCTCTTGGGCACCTGTCCCATGCAGCAGAGCCAAGATGCCATTCTGAGTGACCGCCCCATCCCACACAGGAATCCAGGAGCCCTTTACTGTGATGCCTACCACTCCAGTGGCCTATAACTCGCTGGGTGCAGTGATTGGCATTGCAGTGCTGGGGTCCCTTGTGGTGGCCTTGGTGGCACTGTTCATTGGTTATCGGCATTGGCAAAAAGGCAAGGAGCACCACCACCTGGCAGTGGCCTACAGCAGCGGGCGGCTGGACGGCTCCGAGTATGTCATGCCAGGTGAGCTGGCCTGGGGCCTGGAGCACAGAGGAGTGGCTGGCTCATAGGCACAAGAGTGGATGCTGGGCATGACCCAAAGGGAAACTGAGGAGTGGGGAGGAGGGAGGAAGGGAGGTCAGCGAGGCCACAGTACTCATCTTCAGGGACAGAACAGCTCTCCTGGACTGCTGCCCATCGCTGAGCTCACCCTGCGCTTATGTCTGTTGTGCAGATGTCCCTCCAAGCTATAGTCACTACTACTCCAACCCCAGCTACCACACCCTGTCGCAGTGCTCCCTGAACCCCCCGCCCCCTAACAAGGTCAGTGCTGGGGGCATAGTGCACTGTGGAGGGAAGCGCACAGACCTGACTCTGGAAAGCCCTGTCCTTGCATTTGCTCTCCCTACTGCCCTGTCCCCTCTTAGGTTCCCAGCCAGCTCTTTGCCAGCCTGCAGGCCCCTGAGTGGCCAGGTGGGGCCCACGGGCATGATAACCACGCCACCCTGCCTGCTGACTGGAAGCGCCGCCGGGAGCACCCTCCAGGGCCTCTGGACAGGGGTAGGTTCCCAGGGGCCTGGGTCTCTGGACAGAGGTAGGTGCCGGGGAGCCTGGGCCTCCGGACAGGGGTAGGTGCCAGGGAGCCTGGGCCTCCGGACAGGGGTAGGTGCCAGGGAGCCTGGGCCTCCGGACAGGGGTAGGTGCCGGGGAGCCTGGGCCTCTGGACAGGGGTAGGTGCCAGGGAGCCTGGGCCTCTGGACAGGGATAGGTGCCGGGGCCCTTGGTCTCTGGACAGGGGTAGGTGCCGGGGGCCTGGGCCTCTGGACAGGGGTAGGTGCCAGGGGTCCTGGGTCTCTGGTAAGGGTGGATGTGTGCAGCCTGGCATCCCGCAACGTCTGAGTGAATGTGTCTGGAGATGGGGCTCTGGGCCCCAATTTTAGAGGTGTTTGAGTCTGGGGAGGGGACAGAGGGCTGATTGCCAGTTGTCTCCTCCTCAGGAAGCAGCCGCCTGGACCGCAGCTACAGCTACAGCAATGGCCCAGGCCCATTCTATAATAAAGGTATAGGCACAGGGGCAACAAGGGAGGTCACTGAGCCGGGGCTAAGGAACCAGTGCCTCCGTGGGGCCTGACTTCTTTGCTCTATCCTTAGGGCTCATCTCTGAAGACGGGCTCGGGGCCAGCGTGGCTTCCCTGAGCAGTGAGAACCCCTATGCCACCATCCGGGACCTGCCCAGCCTGCCAGGGGGACCCCGGGAGAGCAGCTACATGGAAATGAAAGGTCCCCCTTCAGGATCTCCCCCCAGGCAGCCTCGTCAGCTCCAGCTCCGGGACAGCCAGAGGCGGCGGCAGCCCCCGCCACAGAGAGACAGTGGCACCTACGAGCAGCCCAGCCCCCTGATCCATGGTGAGCCCTCCCTTTCCACTGGCAGGACTGGCAGAGAAACGGGACAAGGGAGGCAGAAAAAGAGAAGGAACAGGGAGAGGAGAAGGAGAAGGCGCGATGTGGCAGCAAGAGTGAGGCCTTCTGGGTCAGCCTCGAGCTCAAATCGGGCACAATGAGGAATCGAGGTGGCCTCTCACAGCCTGTGTCCTCATCTGGAGAACAGCATGTGTATCTGCCTCGAAGGGCTCAGGATGGAAGTGGTGGTTGTACAGCATCGGGGGGTGGAGTTGGCACCCAGAAAAGTAGGGAGCCAGGCAGGGGATGAAGTCTGCTGGTATCCTGGGAGGTGGATGGGCTGAGGTGGCTTTCTCACTGGCAGCTGAGGCACTAAGGGCCTTTTGCTCAGAGCCACACAACTAGCTGATGGTAAGCTGGGCTATGTATCCAGAGACCTATCTCCTTCTCCTTGCCTTTAAGAGGCTGAAGAGGGGAGGAGAAGGGTGGGAGTGGGAGAGGAGTGGGAGGAGCCTCGCCCTCTCATCCTGTCCTATACATTTCCAGACCGAGACTCTGTGGGCCCCCAGCCCCCTCTGCCTCCGGGCCTACCTCCCGGCCACTATGACTCACCCAAGAACAGCCACATCCCCGGACATTATGACCTGCCTCCAGTACGGCATCCCCCATCACCTCCACTTCGACGCCAGGACCGGTGAGGAGTGAGGATGGTGTGGCAGAGGCCAGCATACCTGGCTGTTGCTGCCGAAGGCTGGGGACAGAGCCTGGTGTACCCTGCCAGGAGCAGCGAGTGGACCGGCAGGCCATGAACATGAACAACACTTAACGGAGCAAGTGAATGGAGAGACGGGAGCCTTGTTCCCAGGTTCTACTGTGGGAGAGACACTGGTCAGCAGGATGCCTGGCTCCCTTTCCCACCCCACTGCTCCCAAGGCCCCCAGGGCCCTGTGTACATAAACTGGTGGGTTGAAAGTTGCTAGGTAACTCTGATTTCAGACTGATTTCAAATGTGTGTGGGGTGCCTTTTCTGTGCAAGCTCAGGCTGGGCTCCGTGTGTGTGTGTTTCTGTGATTTTGGAAGGGTGCCGAGCGCAGGTCCTGTCCTAGGGCACTTACTGTTTAGTAGGGAGATGGACCCAACCCAGTTAACTCTCGCATTAGCCTCCACCTGGCCTCCCTGCATTCATTCAGTGAAGCTTCCAATTCGAGGCTCAAAATTTCAAAATACAGGCTGGGTAGTTTCTCCCTACCTGAAAGCCTTCGTAGGTGACCCTTTGCTCTTCTGCCGGTATCAAAACTTTCCAAGGCCTTAAAGGCCCTGCTTGCCTGGTCTCTACAGCCTCACCTTGAACTGTTTTCCTGTCACTGCGAACCAGTGACACTGGCCTCTAGGTCTTCCCTTAGGCCACAGGGCCACACTTCTTTCTAGCACGGGGACTTGCATACCTGGAGTGCCCTTCCTCCCCTACTGGCCTGTTCACCACTGCTCTTCCTTTACACCTCCTCTTCAGGGAAGCGCCCCACCCTCCATGCCTCTTTCACAGCCCTGACGGCAGCTGTGGACACTCACCAGGTACCTGCAGAAGGCCTACAGGGTGCCAGGCGCTTCTTTAATGTGCTCTTTCTTTATGTGATTGATTAATCTCTGCCTCCCACGCTAAGAATGTAAGCTCCCTGAAGGCAGGAATCCTGTGCTTATGCTCAATATTGGCTCTTCCTTGGCACACAGTAGGGGCTCAATAAATGCTCCCCAAAAGGCTGAGTGGCTGACTGAATTAAACTACCAGTGACTTGCAGTAGTGCTAGGATAGATGGGTGTGCGCTGACAGCTACAGACTGAATAAGTTGGAGACTTCCCTAAAGGGTGGCATTTCCATGGGGTGACAACACAGAGCTCAGACGTTGGAAGGTGCCAGGGGCAGGGGTGCAGGGGGGTGGGCCAAGGGGGCTGCAGAGGCTGGAGACAGGATATTAGGAGAGAGTATACAGGCACGCCTCCATTTATTGCACTTCACAGGTAGTGGAATTTTTAAAGAAATTGAAGGTTTTGGGAAATATAGGTGACAGCAATAGGAAATTGAAGATCCGTGTCAACACTGCTTTAAGCAAGTCTGTTGGCACCATTTTCCCAAAAGCATGTGCTCACTTTGGGTCTCTGCATCACATTTTGGTAATTTTTGCAATATTTCAAACATTGTCATTATTATTATATGTGTTATAGTGATCTGTGATCAGTGATCTTTGCTATTGTTGTAATTGTTCTGGGGCGCCATGAACTGCACCCATATAACACAGCAAGCTTAATCAATAAACGTTGTATGTGTTCTGACCTCTCCACAGACCAGCCGTTCCCCCAACTCTCTCCCTCTCTCAGGACCTCCCTATTCCCTGAGACACAACAATATTGAAATGAGAGTTAATTAATAACCCTACAAGGGCCTCTGGGTGTTGAAGTGAAAGGAATAGTCACACCTGGAGATGTACAAGATTAGTGTTGTCTGCATGCTTGCTCATAAGTACCCATTCTGCAGCCTGTGGATGGAGCAGTCATTTTGATTTTCAAGTCTTGTTATTTCAGAAATGCATTTTGGGCCAGGCGTGGTGGCTCACCAAAGCTTGTCATCCCAGCACTTTGGGAGGCCGAGGCAGGTGGATTACCTGAGGTCAGCAGTTTGAGACCAGCCTGACCAACATAGCCAAACCCTGTCTCTACTAAAAATACAAAAGATTAGCTGGGCATGGTGGCACATGCCTGTAGTCCCAGCTACGTGGGAGGCTGAGGCAGGAGAATTGCCTGAACCCAGGAGGCAGAGGTTGCGGTGAGAGGAGATCGAGCCATTGCACTCCAGCCTGGGCAACAGGAGCGAAACTCCGTCTCAAAAAAAAAAAAAAAAAAACCATTTTGTAAAGCATTAGTTGCCATAGATAGTGATTCCTCTGGTGGATCTGGGTAAACTCAACCTTTTGGATAGGATCCACCATTCAAAATGTCATTAAGAACATTTGTGATTCAAGATGGGAGGAGGTCAAAATATCCATGCTAACAGGAGTTTGGAAGAAGTCGATTCCAATCCTCATGAGTGACTTGGAGGCATTCAAGACTTCAGTGGAGGAAGTAACTGCAGATGTGGTAGAAATAGCAAGAGAACTAGAATTGGAAGTGGAGCCGGAAGATGAAACTCAATTGCTGCAATTCATGATAAAAGTTGAATGGATGAGGAGCTGCTTATGGAAGAGCAAAGAAAGTAGTTTCATGAGATGGAATCTACTCCTGGTGAAGACGCTGTAAGCATTCTTGAAATGAAAAGAAACGGGCCGGGTGCGGTGGCTCACGCCTATAATCCCAGCACTTTGGGAGGCCAAGGCGGGTGGATCACGAGGTCAAGAGATTGAGACCATCTTGGTCAACATGGTGAAACCCCGTCTCTACTAAAAATACAAAAATTAGCTGGGCACGGTGGCATGTGCCTGTAATCCCAGCTACTCGGGAGGCTGAGGCAGGAGAATTGCCTGAACCCAGGAGGTGGGGGTTGTGGTTAGCCGAGATCGCTCCATTGCACTCCAGCCTGGGTAACAAGAGCGAAACTCCGTCTCAAAAAAAAGAAAAGAAAAAAAAGAAACGATTTAGAATATTCCATAAACCTGGTTGATAAAGCAGTGGCAGGGATTGAGAGAACTGACCCTAATTTTGAAAAAGTTCTATCATGGGTTAAATGCTATCAAACAGCATTGGGTGCTATTGAGAAATCTCTTGTGAAAGGATGACTCGATTGATGAGGCAAACTTCACTGTTGTCTTATTTTAAGAAATTGCTACAGCCACGTCAACCCTCAGCAACCACTACCCTGGTCAGTTAGCAGCCACCAGCATCAAAGCGAGGCGCTCCACAGCGGAATGATCGTGACTCGCTGAAGGCTCAGATGATCACTAACAGTTTTAGCAATGGGTATTTTTCGTTTCTTTTCTTTTTTTTGAGACGGAGTTTCGCTCTTGTTACCCAGGCTGGAGTGCAATGGCGCGATCTTGGCTCACTGCAACCTCTGCCTCCTGGGTTCAGGCAATTCTCCTGCCTCAGCCTCCTGAGTAGCTGGGATTACAGGCACGAGCCACCATGCCCAGCTAATTTTTTGAATTTTTAGTTGAGACGGGGTTTCATCATGTTGACCAGGATGGTCTCGATCTCTTGACCTCGTGATCCACCCGCCTTGGCCTCCCAAAGTGCTGGGATTACAGGCATGAGCCACCGCGCCCGGCCAGCAATTAGTATTTTTAAATTAAGGTATGTGCATTGGACTGGGTGCTGTGGCTCATGTCTGTAACCACAGCACTTTGGGAACCTGAGGTGGGAGGATCACTCGAGGTCAGGAGTTCAAGACCAGCCTGGCCAACATGGTGAAACCGCACCTCTACTAAAAATACAAAAATTAGCTGAACATGGTGGTGCCTACCTGTAATTCCAGCTCCTAAGGAGGCTGAGGCAGGAGAATTGCTTGAACCTGGGAAGCAGAGGTTGCAGTAAGCTGAGATCACACCACTGCACTCCAGCCTGTGCGAGAGTGAGACTCCATCTCAAAAAAAAAAAAAAAAGGTATATGTATTTTTTGAGACGTAATGCTATTGCACAGTTAACAGACGACAGTATAGTGTAAATGTAATTTTATATGCACTGAGAAAAAACAGACTACAGTACAGTGTAAATGTAATTTTATATGCACTGAGAAAAAAAAGTGGCATGACTCACTTTATTGCCATATTAGCTTTATTCCGGTGGTCTGGAGCCCAACCCTTAGTATTTTGGGGGCATGCCTTTATTCAAATGGAGCCCAGCAGGGCAGAATCATCAGGGTCTAGAGTAGGAGTCAGGTGATGACTTTGAATCCCAGATTTGTAAAGAGTGTGACTCACCTTATTAACTCGTTAGCAGATTAACTGAGGTCCCAGAGACCCCCAGGAGACTAAACAGGTGGGAGTCGAGAATAGAAACTAGCACCACACCAACCAGATGGGTTTCTCTAGGCTCCTTCCACCAGGTGCTCTCTCCTTACTGGGCAGGTGGGTGGACGCTGGAGAGTGAACCTGCCACCACCTGGATTCTCCCTGGTGTCCTCCGACTGCCCACGGCTAAGATCCCTACCCCGCGCAGTCTGCCCGCTCCCCCCCGGCTCAAGTCCAGGGTGACTTCGGATCGCCCGCCCTTGCCCTATCCCCGTCCCCGCTTGGGTCCTGTCTGGGATCCACTCGTTTCCCTCTGCCATGGCTCCGCGCAGGTCCTGGGTTACCCTTGCCTTTCTCCCTTAGCACAGGCTCGGCCTGCCCTGGCCCTCCTGGGCCCATCAGCTCCTGCGATCTCCGGCTGCCCTCGCCCTGCCTGCTCCGCCGGCCGGGCCCGCCCCTCCCGCTCTCGCCCCTTCCCCCGGGCACTCCCCTCGCCTTGCTCTGCCCTGCGGCGCCCCCTGTCTGCCTCGCGTGCTTTCTGCGGTTGCCCCTTTCCCGCGGGCCCGCCCGCCTCGCGCGGTTGTCTTGGAGAGGGACGCGTAGGCGACGCCATTGCGGACGGGTCGGATCCGGTCCCTGGACGCGGAACAGAGACCCCCTGATTCAGCCACCCCAGAGTGAGCCGCATAGAGTACGGTTCTACCTTCCCGCCCCGACGAGGGTGCCAGAGACGCTGTAGACAACACCAGCATGTCGAGCGAGCAGAGCGCCCCAGGGTCCTCGCTGAGGGCCCCGCGTCCGGGGACCCAGAAGTCGTCTGGCACGGTGATCAAAAAGGGAGAGCGCGCGGCCAAAGAGAAGCCAGCGACCGTTCTGCCTCCCGTGGGCGAGGAGGAGCCCAAAAACCCTGGTACGCTGGCGCGGGGGGTTGGGAAATCAGGCCTCCAGGCTGCGTCTTCCCGGGTTCCCACTCGCTACTCACTGCTCACGGCTACGGCTGAACTCTCACATACCCAGGTTGAGTTTCTGAATCTCGGCTTGATAGATGTTTGAATAGAACTTGATCTTAAAGAACCCACACTTTGGTTTGGGATGCTGACAAATACCAATAAGATGTGATAAGATAGAGAAGAGAGGAAGGCCCAGGGGTGAGGAGGGGGATGCCAGGAGGTGCCTTTGAGCAGAGTTTATAGATATTCATTCATTGATTCAACAATTAATTTCCAAATGCCAGCCACGAGGCCAGGCATGTCACAGAAGAGAAGGAGAGGGACACAGCCCTGCTCCCATGGGGTTTACATCCTCTGGGAAAAGAAAACGAATAGAATGGTGTAAATAGAGGTGTGGCTCTTTTTTTGCAAGTGATATAACCCCAACCAAACTAAGCATGGAGGGGAAATGTATCTGAAGACTTCTTGGTACAAGTCTGCCAGCTTCAACATTACTGAACAAGAACTTGCTGTCTCTGGAATCGAAGTAAAAACCTTGGGAAAAGGCTCTGCTCGCCCAGCATCCCCCAGGTGCTATCTCCTGTCAGTGCTGGTGGGTCCCTGGGGAAGGAATTCTAAGAGCTGTGGAAAGAGCATCTTCTGGAGGGGAAGACAAGGCAGCATAGAATCCCCTACAGGTATGAAGCCAGTTACATTAAACACACACACACACGCACACACACACACACGACATGGCTGCTGTACAGAAAATGGGGTGGAAGGAGGCAGAGAGATGAGTCACCAGACTATTTCAACAGCCTAGTCTGGGGACAGTGGGAGTTGGGATAGGGCAGTGAGCTTGGTGAGGGGTGCTTGGGTTAGGCTCCTCAGAGAAACACTTTGAAGGTAAAAGTAATAAGAGTTGGTGAAGGAATGGACAGGATGGGGAGTGAGGGACAGAGCAAGAATGATTCTCAGGCTTCTGGACTGCGCACATGGTGGGAGGAGGTGCCACTCATGGAGACAGGTGCATGTAAGGGAGGAGCTCCAAGGGGTGATGCCAGCTGGACAGCTGGACACATGGGTCAGCAGTGCCTGGGAGAGGTCAGGGGTGGAGTTGTGGCTTTGGGAGCTGCTGACGTTCTGGCACAGTTAAGTCCTGGCAATGAGAGAGACCCCTCCAGGAGGCAGGGAGTATACAACTAGGGAAGAGCAGAGGGTTCAGGACCCAGCCTTACAGGTTGTAGAGCACAAGGAGCTGGCAGGGGAGTCTGAGCAGCCAGCAGAGAGGGAGGAGAGAATGGGAGTGACGCCTGCGCAGGACCTGGATAGGCAACATGGAGGTCACGGTGGCCTTAGCAGACACCACGGTGTGCTGCGACAGGGGCAGATGCGGGCTTGCTGATGGCACACATAGAAATGTGTAGGAATTTAGAAGAAGTCCTATCTGATGGCTTCTGTTTCTCAAGAAGCTATGGGCTGAGACCATTAGTGAGCATGAGGAAGGGGTGTAGGAGCAGAGGAGAGCTGAGCTGACAGGTGCTCAGGTGCAGAGCCCGTTTCCACCGCGCCCGCGCGGGCGGCGCTGTTCTCGCGGTTTTAGAGCGGGGCTTCTCTACAGGTGCTGTGGACCAGCCGCTTCAGCATCATCTGGGGCCTTGCTAAAAATGCAAAATCATGGGCCTCACCCGGGCTACAGAATCAGAATCTCTGGGGATAGGGCCCAGGAAATGGTTTTAACAGGCTCTCCAGGTGATTCTTAAGATGTTAAAGTTTGAAATGTCCGTTCTTGAGAAGGGAGGTATGAGTGAAGCAAGGAAGCGTGAGGGGCTCTCCCAGCAGAGGGAAGTTTGGGAGGGCTGGGAGGTGTGCAGGAGCCAGCCAGCCCAGGGGTCACTGCAACTTCCCTATGCCGCCTCCAACCTGCTTCGCCCATTTGACTGTGCATCTGGGGTCCCGCTGATGGCCAGACACAGGAGGAACATGCCTCTCACAAATTTCCCCAGGAACCCTCGAAGCTCTCTTCTTCCCGCCAGTCCCTCCATGCCCTCAGGCAGGCTCCCTGTTCTGTGGAGCTCCTGCAGCATATGGCAGGGCCTCCGGTTTCAACTCTAGGAACCAATTCTTAGTGGGGAGCCAGAAAGAGCAAGGATCTCTTGGAGACTCAGAGTCTCAAGCTCGCATAGCACCGCTCTCAGGATGAGATGGGGTGGGCATGTGTGAATTAATATAACTCACACATGAGTTATATTTCTAAAGCATTTTAGAACTGGACACGAGGAAGTTCCATATAAGCACACTGGACAGAGGAAGTGTTAAATAATAGTGTGGTTTTGCTGCCCTTGGTCATATGTGTAGGGAAGGGGTGGGAGTAGAAAGGAACTCACATCGGGCCTGCGGGTCTCCATCCCAGGGACCCTGAGCAGTTCCAGCAGGGAAGGAACACTTGTGACGAGGCTGGGCTGGGGACACCAGGAGAGGCAGAGGTGGGGCTGGGAGTGGAAAGCAGGGGTGGCAGTGGCTTTGACCTGGGGGTGGGGAAGCCAGTACACAGAAGAGGCGACACCATTGTCTGCCGTGCAGGCCGCTAGTGCCCTTTCTTCCAAGCATTTGCAAGTGTCTAGTCCCCGTTTTTCCAGGCATTTGCAAGTTGAATGGCTGAGGAGGGGCGCCAGTCAGCACGGGTGAACCTGAGGAGCCAGGGGTGGGCGCGGCCCCTTCTCTCACGCCCCTGCCTGTCCCCGCAGAGGAGTACCAGTGCTCAGGGGTCCTCGAGATCGACTTCGCCGAGCTCTGCATGCGGTCGGGCTACACGGACTTCCCTAAAGTTGTCAACCGGCCCCGCCCTCACCCGCCTTTTGTCCCCTCCACCTCTTTGTCGGAAAAGGTCACCCCAGGTGAGTGACAGTGGAGCTCCCCGGTGCCTACCTGGGCCGCCTCGACCATCCTCACCCTCTCTTCCCAAGCCAGGAGAATGGCACGGGGGGGGGGGGGGGCAGTGTGTGTTTGAATGGGGGGAATTCGACCATGCCGGTGAGGAGGTGGAGGAGTCTCCCGTCTTTCTTTCCAAATCCCAGCAGAGGCGCCGTGGCCGGAGAGGCAGCGCCCGCAGGCCAGTGCCTCCCACGCCGGCGGTGCCCCCCCAATCCTACCCGGGCACCTGTGGGCCGGCAGGGCGCGGGGCGCGGGTAGGCAGCTGCTCCCCTCCCTCCTCACCTCTTCCAGAAGACCCACAGCTGTCCGGGTCCTGCAGCCTTAACAGTCTGGAGACCAAATACGTGTTTTTCCGGCCCACCATCCAGGTGGAGCTGGAGCAGGAGGACAGCAAGTCGGTGAAAGAAATCTACATCCGCGGTGAGCCCGGGTACCCCCGCCCGTCCCCGCTCCCTCCCGCTCCCCTGGTGCTTCCCAGGCCTGAGGCGCCTGACTCTTCTTGGCCCGCAGGTTGGAAGGTTGAGGAACGGATTCTGGGTATTTTCTCTAAATGCCTGCCCCCGCTCACCCAGCTACAGGCCATCAAGTGAGGGGCACTGGGGGGATGGGCGAGAGGCCCGCCCGCGTGAGAAGTGGGGCTCCTGGTGGCTTGGGAGAGAGAACCAAGGGGCACGGGAGACCCTGGAGACTATGGGAGGTGACGGTGGGGGATGCGGAAGGGCTCCGTTGGAAAGATGGTGTGGGAAGCGTTTCCAGTAGGAGGGGACCTCTAGCTCTGTGTTTCTGCACTTCCCGCCCATGCCAGCTTGTGGAAGGTGGGGTTGACTGATAAGACCCTGACCACCTTCATCGACCTCCTGCATCTCTGCTCATCCACACTCAGGTCAGCAGACCGGGAGGCCCCCAGTGCCTGGACGGCCTGGCTGTGCGGGTGGTCAGAGGGGAGCAATGTGGGCATGGAAGTGGCTGACTCCTGTGGGCCTGGCTAGCATCCCTGTGTAAGCAGAAGCCGGCAATGTCTGTTGGATCATGATACCCCCATCAGACAAGAAGCCAGGTCCGCTTTTCTGCCCACACCAGTATCCAAAGAGCCTGACCTTCCAGGGCTCATCCTATCCCTCTGCATCAGTTCCATTACCCTCCACTCCCTCCCCAGAGGTTCTCTCTCTCCTTCATGGCTGCCTGGAGCCCTGGTCCTGTACCAGAGGCTGATAAGACCCACAGTGCTTATCCTCTAGGAACTCGCAGTCCAGTGAGGGAGAGAAAAGGACACAAGAATAAGTACTGCAGGGCAATGTGGAGACTCATGATGGAAGACTGGTTCATTGGGGGAGGGAGTCGGGCAGAAAGAAGTGCCACCCCACTTTATGGGGCAGGAAGACCTGGAAGACTGCCTGGAGGAGGTGGTACTGAGCTGAAGAAGGCCTGTGAGCAGGCCAGAGAGGGAATTAGGAAAGGGCATTCTTACATGGGAAGGAGCAGGAGCAAGGCGTGAGGCAGGGTAACTACAGGTGTGGTTGGGAGTGTTAGCAGAGAGGCTGATTTGGCCCCACCCCTTCTCCAGACTCCCACAGCAGCTTGCCCTCTCTTGTTTCTTGGGGGCACCCCTCCTGCGGTGGCTTGCCTGTCTTCCTGCTGTGGATGGCACGGACGTTCCTTGAGAGCAGGAACTGTGTCTTCTTCAGCTGGGGGTCCCCAGTGCTCTGTGTAGAACGCCATGAAACGTATTTCCTTCTATGGTGGTAATTAACTAGCAGAAAACAATGATATGAATTCATCTGTAAATACTGTGTAAAAGTAAGTCCTCCCAACATAAAAAAATTAAACTGAATGTAACCAAGTTGACATCACAGGCGAGGCAGCCTGAAAGGTCGAACAAAATAAGAAATTGTGAGAGCAAATTTTTACATAGAGAAATTTCTGGCCATTAGTTCAGTTTTTGCTGTGACTTAGAACAGGACCGCCTTTCTCACAGCACTGTTAGAGAAGCCACTGCCATGTGGTGGGTTGTGTCGTAGTTATCTATTGCTGTGTGACAAATTAACCCCGAGATTCAGTGGCTTAAAAGAACGCACATTTATGATCTCATAGCTGCGGTGAGGTGACCTGGGGCTGGGCTGGGCTGGCTGAGCGCGCTGGCCCAGGGTTTGAGGTTGTCGTACAGCTGCTGACTGGGACTGCAGTTAACCTCAAGGACCAACTGCGGTGGTGAATCTACCTCCAGACTCGCTTCTGTGGCTGCCTGGGACTCTCTACAGGCTGGCTGAGTATCCTTACCACATGGCAGCTGGCCATCTGAGAGAGTGCCAGGGAGCACTCAAGACGGAAGCCATGGCCTTTGTAGCCTAAACCTAGAAGTGCTGTCCCATCTCTTCTACTATGTTCTGTTCATTATAAGTGAGTCACTTCTTTTTTATTCCTTTTTTTTTTTTTTGGAGATAAGAGTCTTGCTTTATTGCCCAGGCTGGAGTACAGTGGCACAGTCTCGGCTGACTGCAACTTCTGCCTTCTGGGTTAAAGTGATTTCTCTGCCTCAGCCTCCCAAGTAGCTGGGATTACAGGCACTCACCACCACATCGTGCTTTTTTCTTCTTTTTTCTTTTTTTTAGTAGAGACGGGGTTTCACCCTGTTGCCCAGGCTAGTCTCAAACTCCTGAGCTCATGCAATCCATCCTCCTCAGCCTCCCAAAGTGCTGGGATTACAGGTGTGAGCCACCGTGCCCGGCCAGAAGTGAGTCACTTCGAATGTGAAGTCCACACTCAAGGGGAAAGGATGACACAGGGGCATGAGTTCTAGGAGTGGGGACCACTGAAGGCCATCTTAGAGGCCACCCTACCACGGATTGCCAGCTTTGCGTAGCAGCCCCTTCAGATGGTCACACCTCTGAATTTTTAGTCTGAGGAATTGTCACATCTGTTTTCTATATTGGGGGACAATCCTTCGACTCTGTTTCCTAGTTGCTTCCCAGAGGCCCACATTTCCTCTCTGTTTCCCTCCCTTACCTGGCCTCAGTGGTACCTTCTGGTTCTCAGATCTCCCCTGCCCTCAGGAAGGTGTCTCTGGAGGGGAACCCACTTCTGGAGCAGTCCTATCACAAGCTCATGGCCTCGGACAGCACGTGAGACTCCCTGCCCTCACCCCCTTCATCTGGGCCTATCTTGAACCCCCAAGCCATTTTTAGTCCCCAGCCTTCCTTGTCCCCCTACCATCTCGGCAAGGGCCCTCGGTTCCTGCCCCTACATCCTCAGACCAGGCGGCTCCTCAAGCCGTCATGTCTCCCAAATTCCGGCGGACGCCCTGCACTGAGTTTCCAGCCACCCACATTCATTCTCCGGCTACGCAGGATCGCGCACTTGTCTCTGCGTAACAACAACATCGATGACCGCGGGGCGCAACTCCTGGGCCAGGCGCTGTCCACGCTGCACAGCTGCAACCGGACCCTTGTCTCGCTCAACCTGGGCTTTAACCACATTGGGGACGAGGGCGCGGGCTACATCGCCGACGTGAGTGCGCAGCGGGGAGAGACCCGCTGAGAGCAGGGGCGGCTTGGGCAGCTCACGGCTCCCTGACCACCCCTTAGGGACTCCGGCTGAACCGTTCCCTGCTCTGGCTGTCCCTGGCCCACAACCGCATCCAGGACAAGGGCGCCCTGAAGCTGGCGGAGGTGGGTGTGCCGACCAGGTGGGTCCGGGACGAGGACTGGCCTGGCGGGGGAGCGGTGGGGGGGGTCTGACTCCCCTGGCGTCCGACCTCCTCAGGGCGCCCGCCTTCCGCAGGTCCTGCGACCCTTCGAGCTGACGCACACCGAGGTGGTGGAGCGCCGGCGCCTCCTGCTGGAGAAAGGGACGCAGGAGCACTCGCGATCGGTGAGGAACCACCAGGCCCCAGGACCAGCGGAGAGGTCCTCTAACCCTCGAGCCCACTTCCCAAGTCCGCTGCTTTTCAGCAAACTGGTCATCCGGTTAAATCTCCATCCTCTGTCGTGACTGTCTTTCCCTCCGACTTCTGCACAAACGCCCTGCTGGGCAGGCTCTGATCGCAGAACCACCCTATGGGCAGTAGAGTGTACTGGTTAAGAGACAGGACACTCGATTTAGACCATCTGGACCTGAAGTCCGGCTCATCCATATCCTAGCTTGTGACCTTGGGCATGCTACTAAACTTTTTTTTTAATGGTAGAATATTTTGCTTTATTTCATTATGTGCAGGATCATTGAGATAACTAAACTTCTTAACTTCTTTTTTTTTCTTTAGAGACGGAGTTTGGCTCTGTTGCCCAGGCTGGAGTGCAGTGGCACAATCTCGGCTCACTGCAGCCTCCGCCTCCAGGGTTCAAGCTATTCTCCTGCCTCAACCACCTGAGTAGTTGGGATTACAGGTGTGTGCCATCAGGCCCGGCTAATTTTTGGATTTTTTAATAGAGATGGGGTTTCGCTGTGTTGACCAGGCTGGTCTCGAACTCCTGGTCTCAAGTGATCTGGCCCCTCTTGGCCTCCCAAAGTGTTGGGATTACAGGCATAAGCCACTGCGCCTGGCCTGTTACTTCTCCTTGCTTCAGTTTCTTCATCTGTAAGTGGGGATAACTGTACCTATTTCATGACTGTTGAGAGGATTTAATGACTTAATTCCTGCAATCCATTTAAAATAGCACCTGGCACTTAGCTCAATAAAAGTTAGCTGCCTTTTCCCCCACTCAGTATGAGAGTCTGAGATCCTGCCTCACCCTTCATCTCACCCCCACCCAGGTCCCGCTGCTATTTCTATTTCTTCCCCAAAGCATCTCACTCCAGAGGAGTCCACTACAAACTATTTTAGCATTTAGGCAGGGAGGTGGGTGGGAGGGTGCTGTCAGCTCCACTGCTCCCCCCAAGTATGGGTACAGCTACCTTTCATCCCCCCACTGAGGAAGGGACTCTGGCTGCTTCTTCCCTCCCTTCCCATTCGTGAGCACAGCCCTCCTCCTCGAGACATGGGGACTCCAAAACAGACCGTGAGAAGAGTCAGACGGTAGGGATCAGCAACAGCGCATTGGTGGACAAGACAGACAAGACGCAGCCAATGAAAACCCCTAAGGGCCTGGGCAAGAAAAAGGAGAAATCATGGGTAGGTGTGTAGTGGGACAGAGCCTGGGTGCTGAATGGTCAGTGGAGGGGGCTTCTATCACTTGCAGAGGCGGTGGAGGGAAACAGGCCACATGGACCTTTGAATTCCCCCTAAGGCCTCTGGTCCTAACCCTGATCCTTCCCTCACCACTGCCCATCCCCTCCGGAGGTGGGCCTTGTACTGCTCTTCTCACTTTCTCCATAGGAATTGACCAAGAAAGAGGAGAGGTCAGGGGCTGGGCAGTCACCCACACAAGGAATCCCTAAGAAAGAAGATGCCACAAAAGCAGGAAAGGGGAGTAAGTGCAGGTGCCCCTGGGCAGCACCTTCCCATGTGGAGGAGGAGAGTGCTGGGCAGGGTGCAGGAGGCTGTTCTGGGCCTGGGCGCATCTGCCTGGAGCTCACCTCACCATGTCTCTCTGGGCCTGATTTCCTTCTCACAGTGGGATAATGTGGGGAGCCTCGTCTGGCCCGGATGTCCTAAGCCACTGCTCTCCACATCCCCTTTGTCGGAGCTGGAGCTCTGTGGCTCTGTCTTCAAAGAACCCACCCATCTAGCTGGGGTCCCCCTCCAGCCATTTCTTTTTTCTTTTTCTTCTTTTCTTTCTTTTCTTTTCTTTTCTTTTTTTTTTGAGATGGAGTCTCACTCTGTCACCCAGGCTGGAGTGCAGAAGTGGGATCTTGGCTCACTGCAATCTCCACCTCCAGGGTTCAAGCAATTTTCCTGTCCCAGCCTACCCAGTAGCTGGGATTACAGGCATGCACCACTATGCCCTGCTAACTTTTGTATTTTTAGTAGAGAAGGGGTTCACCATGTTGGCCAGGCTGGTTGAGAACTCCTGACCCCAGGTGATCCTCCCACTTTGGCCTCCCAAATTGCTGGTATTACAGGTGTGAGCTACCACGCCTGGCCCCCTCCAGCCATTTCTACTGCACCCAAACCCCTGGTTGGGGGGTGTCTTTGCCTCACCTAGCCTGTTCTCTCTGGGGAGGGAGCCTGGGTGATATCAGAAATGGGCACTGTGCATTCTGGCTCCTCTTCTGGCCCCAGAGGTAATCATCCCTGAGCAGAAGCCAAGCAGGATAAAAGGGATCAAGATTGGGAGCAGAGAGAAGCGCAGCATCCTCCCGGAGTCGGGACAAGAGGTAGGCTGCTGGAGGAGTGGAGGAAAAGGGCACATCCCTGGGATTCCAGGCTTCCTGGGACCTCTCATCCCAGCCCCTCCTGGAATGTGGTCTCCAGCCTCATGCTGTGGCAGCAGCCATTTACTTTCAAGTTTGTCCTCCACTCCTGTCCCAACCTCACTTGAAACCCACTCCCATCTCACCCTGGGCTTCTGTGGGAATCATGGGAGTGGGCCCCTTCTGCTTTTCCTCGCCTGTTAATAGCCCACACTTCGGATCTGCTGTCTCAACTCAGCCGGGCTGCTCCTGCAGAGGCCCTCAGTTCATCACCACCGCCTCCATCACTTGCTTGGGCAGTTGCATAGGAACAAAGCATCCTCTTTTTTGTCCCTCTCAGTAGCTCTCCAGGGAAGGTGGGGCATTTTTATAGTAATGGCACCGCCCCATGCTACCCTGTGCATGGGTCCTCCTTCAGATCCTCTTTCTTTTGCCCCTGGATCTTCTCTGCCCCCTTTCAACTTGGACCAACTTGCTCCTTGCATTGGAAATCTTCCTGGGCTGCCTCCAGTGCTCCTGCCACCCTCCAGCCCTCGGTTCTGTCAGCTGCCTGAGGGTCTGCCTCTGTATTTTTCTCTTCCGTCGGAAGACTCCCTGCACATCCTAGGCAGGGAAGGGGCCCTCTGCTTTCAGGAGTCTTCTCTGGCACCCAAGACAAAATCTTACCAAAAAGGCCCTTCAGAGGGAGGAAGAGGGTGGGGTTGCTGTTCCCATTTTTTGTGTCTGCCTCTGTCTGGATCAGGCTGCTGATTGTCACTAGGACTATTGCAGTTTCTTTTCATCCTGCTCTCATTGTCACTTCCCTCCAATCCATTCTCCTTTTTGCTTCAGGCATCGGGAAACAGTTAGTAAAACCTGAATGCCACGTACCGTTTCCCGCCTCCAGAACAAAAGACAGCACCTGCTTTCTCTGCCCAGAACACCTTTCCCATCATCTGACAATATCATGTGCATCCACATTTCAGCTCACCGCCCTCCTCAGCCAGGAGACCCCTCCTGGCCTGGCCTAGGCAGCCCTTTTCCATACTCCACAGTGCCCTGAGTTTACCTCTGTCAGCGGTCACTCTAGACCACATTACTCTTCCATTTTCTGGCTCCCCCATACAAAGGAGCTTCTTGAGGGTATGGGTTATTTGTTTTTGTATCCCCAGCACCTAGGACAAAGCCTGGAGTATAGCCAGCAGTCAAAACATGTATGTTGAATGAATGAGTGAATGGCCTGTTGACCAGCTCCCCTGCTGTCTGCTGCAATTAGTATTCTGCTTTAGCAGCTGGTTGTTGAGGCTACTGAGGTGATCAACCCTCTCCTGGAGCCAGTGGAGCACCGAGCTGGGAAAGTTTTCATGCCTGGGAACAAGGTCCTTTTGCACCTCAACCTCCTCCGTATGTCTGCCAACCTCCCCTGTCTTTCTGCCATGAGACGCTGTCCTGCCTGCGGGTGCCTGTCCTGACTCCATGGAGCAGATCTGGTCCTTCCATCTTTGGGCTACATGTCCCCCAAGGCTCTCTTGCACAGGGCTTGGGGAGCCAGGGGAAGTGCTGAGTCTGGGAGGAGACTGAGGACAGGTGATGAGTAATGAGGGGAGTTAGAGAGATGGGGGATGGGAGAGGGAAGAAGAGGAAAAAGAGTGAGGGACAGTCAGAGAATTAAAGGAGAGCTGGGTGAAGGGCCAGGTCAGGGAAAGGTGGGCCACGGCCAGTGAGTCTGGAGTGGGGAGCTGGGCTGCTGGGGGTGTCTGGTGTGTCAGGTGCCAGAGATGCCTGTGGCATTAAGAGATCACCTCTCTGCATCTTCCACTAGGGAACCGCATCACAGAGGTGGGGCTGGAGGGCTTCCTCGCCACGATGCAGCACCAGGTGCAGTTCTCCAAGGCCAAGAGTGTGTCCAAGGGTCCAGTGGGGCTGCTGTGGCTGTCCCTGGCTGTGAGTCCCTTTCACTCTCTCCTGCCAAAGGAGAGCTTGCCCCTATCAGCTGTCACACTAGACAGCTGCTGCAGGAGGGTCTCTCTCCCTGTTTTCAAGGAAGGTCTATAGCTTCTCTACTTCTTTTTTAAAAAATCACAAGAAAACCTCCACTTGTCTTGCTGAAAGATCAACAGTATTAATCACTTTTTCTGCATGTCTCCCAGCCCTTAACCCACCCTGCCCCAGGACCCTTTTTTCTCCCAGAGGACCAATTTCCATTCCCCTTGTCAGAGGTCACCCTTCCTTTTCCTCTTTTCAGAAAAATTGCTTCGCTCCACAATGTCCTGCATACGCCAAGCTCCAGGAACTGATGTTGCCAAGGGGCCCCATTAAGGTCAAGCTCAGGGAGGACGAGGCCATGGCGTTCTTCCCCTAGCCCCTCCCACCTGCTCGCCTCTGAGACTCTGAGCCACAGAAGCACCCCCCGTCCCTGTGTGCACTGACCTCCCTGGGGGAGCTCTCAGACCAATAACAAAGTCTGTTGCTGTTCTTTTCCTTGATGTTGTCTGAACACTTTCTTGCAGAACTACTTAGAACATTTGGATTTTGTGTGCCTGTCCATGTTACATGGCCAGGAATGTCTGAAAAGTGATGGTCTGCATTACAGTTCTGCTGGGGATGATCTCAGCTCCCTGGCCTCAGCTAGCCAGGAGCATTGCCTTTCTGCCTCCTGCGGGCTAGTTCTTCCTTGCTCTGGCAAGAGCCATTCCCCCACTGTGTGCCCTAGGGGATATGCATTATGCCAGGGTTTGCATTCAGAAAGATTTGGGATAGGGGTTAGTGACTGACACGCACAGGCTTGGGAGAGGGAGTGGAAGCAGTAGGTAAAGCAGAGGAACGGAGCACACAGGCTCCACACCAGCTCCTTTCTGTCTCCCTGCCCAGCTGGCCCAGGTGTTTGACTGGTTTGGAGGAGCAGTAAAGGGCTCAGGTGAAGAAAATGAACAAAGATTTGGCAGGACACTTTGGAGAGGGTACTAAACTCTCAACGTCTACACAGCAAAGGCCAAGCATTGAACATGAACCCTAATAACACCGCCTGCAGAAGTTAGCAATCTGAAACCAGGTGTGAGGTTCCTGAGCCAGGTCAGGGGCCCCAAACCTTTGCCCTTCAGTGCTGCCTCCGCTGAGGTCCCTGCCAGTACCCGGAGAGTGTAGGAGTGACTGGCTTCCGGGAAGCCTACCTATAACCTACAGGAGTGTCTGAGAAGGGGCAGATGAACAAGGACCAGCCTCCCTTCCTCACTTCTGATTCATCCCGTTCCACATTCTCTAGTCCCACTTCCCTCATTCCACTGCCTCTGCCTACTTAGAATTCCCTTGTCCAGCCATCTTACTATGTGGCTCAGTGGCACCGGGGCCTGTCTCCCGCCTCTGAGTGCCTAGAGCCCTCCTGGTCTCACTGCCTCAGCTATCTCTCTGCAGCTAGCTGCGGAGCGAGCTTCTCCAGGGCAAACCCATCATTTCTTTGAATTCCCAACACTGAACACATTGAGGTGCTGGATGGTCAGTCACCCCAGCTTCTGCAGGGAACCCTGCCATGTCCTCTAGAGCTTCGGTGACTCCTTCAGCCCATATCCTTATCCCCACCCTTCACCAGTAATGACTTCTGTATCAGTTCTGATGCCCAACTAAACTGTACCCTCATGAGGACACAGCCGAGGACTGTGAGAGGTACAGGAGTCAGGGTATTAGGGATTTAGGGCTGGAAGAGAATCGGTCACTGGAATCCAACACTGAGTGCCGGGAGACAGAGGTGATATGGTTACAGTCTTGGTGATGTGTCTGTCTGTGGGATGTGGATGGGTGATGACAGTGAGGAACTGGCTGGGCCTGAGGGAACCCTCCTGCTTAGGTTCAGCTTTTAAAGTACTGAAGCTCACTGAGGGCAGCTCATGAGACCTCTTGACTCGGGCTCCACTGCTCCTTTATATATATATATATATACACGTGTGTGTGTGTGTAACTGAGTTCAGTGTTTTGTCAGGTTTTCTCCATGGGGGTTGTATAACTACAGTTTGCCCAGCCCCCAGTTCAGTGAGTGCACATCTGAAGCTCTGGGAGGGAAGAGGCAAGATCGGGGTCTGGGGGTGGGAGGGCTCCCTCTGGTTCCCACTGTGCAGTCCTAACCAGTCTTACAGGGAACAAACACTGGATCTTCTATCCCAGCGATTCCAAGAAACACACACACCACCATTGAAGAATATTTAACTTTTCTTAAAAAAAATCTTAACCATGAAAGGAAGAAAATAAAAGAGTATACATCATCTTAACAGCAAAACAGTCATTTCCATATCTATATTTTATATATATATATATATATTTATATATATATGTATATATACACCTAGCACAGTGTGTATATTCATCAGGGAGAGTTGGCGAGGACGTGGTGATGGGGCTGACGCTGCGGCGGCCCCTCGGATGGTCCTGGGTGAATTCAGGGACCTAGCATTCAGACCCCCTCTCCCTACCTCTTGGGGCCCAGTCTTCAGCTCCGTACCTGCTTCACTAGTTTTCTACAGGGACAGGGTGGGGAAGAGGGAACATAGGTGGGGTGAGAAACTCCCACAGTCCCATCTTGCAAAGATGAGGAGTCCAGGGAGGGAGGGAGCAGCTCAGCAGCAAGCTGTGGAGGGCAGGCTCCAGAGCCAGGTGGGACAGGGAGCCAGGCACGTTGGGGAGCCAGGTGGGATAGGGAGCCAAGTGCATTGGGGAGCCAGGTGGGACAGGGAGCCAGGTACGTTGGGGAGCCAGGTGGGACAGGGAGCCAGGTGCATTGGGGAGCCAGGTGGGACAGGGAGCCAGGTGGGATGCGGAGCCAGGTGGGATGGGGAGCCAGGTGGGACAGGGAGCCAGGTGGGATGGGGAGCCAGCTGGGACAGGGAGCCAGGTGGGATGGGGAGCCAGGTGAGCTGGGGAGCCAGGTGGGATGGGGAGCCAGACCTTCCCACTCACAGGGACAGGGACACTCAGGCCTGGCCCCCATTTAGGCCTGATCCTGGGGCTGGGTTAACTAGGAGATACAGGTGAACCCTCTCTTCCCTTAGCAGCTCCTTCCATAACTGCCTCCAGCACTCCAGGAACAGGAACAAAAAAGGTCAGTTATTTACAATAGCGAAGATGCACATACAATACATACATATTTATAGGACCAAAGTGACAACGGGGAGGGGAGGCACCCACCTCCGCCTGGGGTCTTGTGGAGAAAGAGGGGAGGAAGAAAGTGCATTTACACAGAAGCCTCCTCCTCTCACTTGCATGTCTGAGGGCAGCGCACGTCCAGGCGTGCACGCGTACGCGCATGTGTGGGGTGAGGGCAGCCATGGTGAGTGGGGGCCTTTCAGATGCAGTCAGCATGCTTAGGAGACACCAGGCCTTAGAGGGTTGGGCTGAGGGAGGGAAAAGACACTGAAACTTGACTCCGATCTGAGCAGACCAAGCAACATGCGGGTCTCCCCCCAGGCCTTGGCTGGATCCTAGTTTCCCCAACTGCCTCCTCCACAGTGAGGAGAGTTAGGATCCCCCACCCTGGGTCCGGTCTCAGGCCAGTCCCCGAAGGAGGAGTGGGGACACAGGGGATTTGGTGGTTTGCACGGTTATGGTCCTGGTGACGTGGCTGCGTCTGCTGCACTCTCTTCCAGGGGGGTGTCAGAGCCTGCGGGAGGAGGATGAAGGTGAGGAACTGGCCAGCCTGAGGCCACCACTTCCGCATGTTTTGTCTAGAAAGTGTTCAGGCTCATGAGAGGAGCTCTATCAGCACCTTCCCTCTCCTCCAGAAACCCTAGTTTCTTGTAGGGCTTGAAAAGGGCTATCTACCAAACTCCACTTGCATCAGCCCCGAAAGCCCTTAGGTCAAGTAGGTATGTGCCATGTCTTCCTGAGTTACAACACAGCCTGGCCCACCCAGTATGGTTCTGAACCCTTTAATAAGCACGAGTCTTAGGCCAGCACTGCGGTGTGCACCTGCAATCCCAGCTGCTTCAGATCACTTGGGCCCAGGAGTTTGAGACCAGTGTAACAGAGCAAGCCCTTATTTCAAATATAATATATATAAACACGCACACACTGAAAATAATTAAAAAAAGGAAAAAAGGTCTTGGATGTGAGACCAGGCTCCTCCTGGTTTGTTACCTCCATAGCACAAGGAATAAGAGGGCTCAATTCTAAGCTCCCCATTTTGCGGGGAAGCGTCTGTGGGGTCCCTCTCTGAAGCTGAGGGAATGAATTCGTTTCACTCAAGGGGAAACCAGACTCTCAGAACCACTATCTCTTACTGCTTGGCAATGCGTCCTCACAAGTTGGGGAACTTCTCCCTCACGGTAGGTACCAAGAGGGACCTGGCTTCACTCACCATCCTCAGGGCAGGGCCCCAGTTCGTGGCTGTTCCTGGAGTCAGAAGCCAGGGGCTCCTTAGCGGGAGGTGAGAGGGAGCCGTCTGTCCATCGAGCTGCTTCTGTGTGGAAACTGCCCACGGGCGTGGTGCCACCAGACGACTCTCCCCCAAGGGACTTGAGCAGCTCTCTGTGGGCCAGCTCCATGTCCTGGAAGAGTCGGTGGGGGAATGTCTGCTCAAGTCCTTCTATTCCTAAGGTCACACTCTGATCTGTGCTGGGCCTTGGGGAAGGGGGTGTGATTTAAGAGTGGCTGAGTGAGCTGGGGAATATCTCCGGGCCAGGACAGGATCTAGGGCTCATGGGGAATGGTTTTGGGGTGACGGACTGAAGTCTTGCAGGGACAAGCTCTGTTTCCCTCACCTTGAGTCTGTTGAGCTTGAGGGTGAGCTGCTCAATGGTACGGAAGATCATGCCCACGTCCCTGAGGGCCAGGCTTGGGGGAGAGCGGCTGAGGCATCTTGGATCTCCATTGCCTCCCTGCAGCTGAGGCTGAGGTTCTATCTGCCCTGCAGGGAAGCTGTCAGGCTGAGGGGGGCTCGTGGGTGCCCCTGAAAGGTCAGTGCTTGAGTCCAGGGGTCCTGCTGGCATGCTGACATAAAAGCAGTTCCCTGTCCCCACAAGAAGAGAAAAGCGATCAGGAGGCAAACAGAGAAGTTGGAGCTATCCTCCCACTCCCGTGGGGTTCCCCAGCCGCCTGACAGCGCAGGCCAGGCAGCCCTCTCCAGGCGAACCCCGAGCACGTGGCCCTTGCTCACTGTCTGCCAGCCCCCTAAAAGCCCTGCTCCCCAGCCTTTCTAGATGGCACTTTGCTCAGTCTGGCCCCAACCTGGGGGGATGCTGAGCAGTGAACTCAAGGGAGAAGTGTCAGGCTGCAGTGTTTCATCTGGGGAAACGGGAGTGGCTCCCCCTCCTTGAGTGAACAGATCAGGGGCTGGTTTCAGGCTCTTCTGAAAGGAGCAGGCGGCGGCTCTCTCGCCCTGCCTTACTCCAGCTCTGGATGAACTGCAGCCCTGCCCTGCTCCTCTGCCATCCATGCCACGAGCCTCTGGAGGTCCCTCGACCCAACCAAGGGGCACCAGAGACAGTTGGAGGAAAGACGTGGAGGGTTCCTGACAGGCGGGAAGCTCAGAGGACCACTGCGGAACTGGGGAGGCCCTTTCAGCCGCTTTCCACAGTGACACTCAAGTGGCGTCTGGGGTGGGCAAGCAGCTGCTCGAGTATCAGGTGAAGGACACTGGGCTCCCGGCACCAGGCCAGGCTTCCCTGCCCCTCTCACAACTGCACACAGGTGTTTATCCCTGCTGCTCTGAACAGGAGCCTGGACAGGTGGCTTCTTAAAGCTGGACGGACAGCACAGGGCCCCTCCGCATCCTTAGGTCCACATCTTCCTCCTCCCCTTTCCAGGCAGCTGAGGGAGCTGGTGGGTGTGTGTGTGACTGCGGGCAGGGGTCTGGCTCTGCCCTCAGGTCCCACATGCCAGTCCTGGCCTGTCTTTGGCTCCGAGGAGAAAGTTATTACCAGTAGCCTTTGTTCCGCTTTCCACTTCAGGTGGCTCAGGCTCTGACTGGCCACTCTCTGGTAGTGCAGGGACAACCTTGCTGCCTGCCACCTCAGCTGCACCGACACCACCACCACCAGGAAGAGGAGAGACCAAAAGACAAGGAAAGGGAAGGGAGAGACAGCAGGAAGGAGAGAGGGCGGGAGGTGGGGGCAGGGGGAGGAGAAAACGGGAAGAACAAGGTGAACACAAGATCATACATGATGACATCCCAGGCAGCGCAGAGAACTTTCCACCAATTCACCGAGAGAGAAGGAAGGTTAGTTCCCAGAAACCCAGGAGAGAGGCAGGCCTCGGGCAGATGGAATAAAAACGCTACTGGAAGGGAGGCAGAGCGGAGCCCCAGGGGAGGGCGGGAAGCCCCTGCCGCAAGACCCCCTAGTGGAACCCTGCCCTGTGTGTGTCCCAGGCTTTGTTCTGCCTTTCTTGCCACCCTCTCAGACTAGCCCACTCTTCCCGGGGTGAGGATCTTCCTCCCTGGGCTCACTGCTCCGGCCAGGCAAACCTGTCTGCCTCCCTGCGAGCTTGTCTCGGCTTTTCTTATCTCAAGGCCGCCTGTGGTGCTCCCCAACCCGGGCTGCCTTCCTGTCACCCTGTTCACTCCCAGACCCCTCACTCGCCAGGTGTCTTCCCAGCCTTGTCCTCCACGCCCTCCAGTTCCAGCTGCCACCTCTGTTGCCCTCGGTGCTGTTGCCTGGCGTGAGGGGCTGCGTGCCCCTGCCCCGTCTGTCTAGGGCTGAGGCTCCTGGGAAGGGCGGCTCTTTTCCCTGGGACCAGGAGCTCAGTGAGGAGCACTAACAGAGACAGGTTCTGGTAGTTGGTTTGTGCCAGGCAGAAAGAAATGCCCTTATGTGTTACAAAATGAAGTTGAGAGATGATTCACAATTTTCTCTAAAGCCGCGCAGATATTAAGCGGCAGAGCTAAGCTCTGAATCTCCACCGTCCAGCTCCAAAGCCTGCCTGATAGTGGCACGTCGCCTTCTTCCAGGACCCAGCGTAGGTCTCTGCTCACACGACACCCAGGGGCAGCATAGGGAAGGACGCAGCTGTTCCGAAGACTTATCTCACCTAGCAAGGGTGCTTTTCCCTGCACTGGACATGCCCGTTTATTTTACCTTTTCTCACAACTTTGTAACCTCCTGCTGCCTCTGTGCTTGAAGCCTCTTCAGCCGGATTCCTATCCAGTTCTGGAGACTCCCATATCCCAGAATTTCTGGTCCTTGGGGGTAGATCTTCCAGAGAACAGAGAGCCATGTTCTCCTGTTCTGGCCGTTCCCCCTCCGGCCCTGGAATCTGGGTGTTGTCCCCTTCACCCCCAGGGAGGGCTTGCCCTGGGGAGCCTGGGTCCCAGGGGTGAGAGGTGACGCCGATGACTGAAGGCGTGGGTGTCACGTCATCCTCGGGCTCCCGGGCAGCCTGAGTTTCCATGGTGTGACCTGGCAGCAGGCTCCACAGGATCAGGCGTCGCAGGTTCTCCACTGGAGGGAAACAGGGTGGTGTCTTCCCAGCACCGGACTGCGCGCCACGCCAGAGGGATCGCTGTGTTGCCCCACTGACCCCATGCAAGGTGGTGACCTCAGGCACAGGCAGAGCTGGGGGGCTCTGGCCAACTAGCTGGTGGGGGTTGGCTGGGCAATGACATTTGTCTCCGCATCCACCTCTCCCCAAGCACACCAGGGAGAGTCTTTGGGAAGGTGGAGGGTGCAGGCGCCTGTCAGTTTACATAGGCTGTGTGACTGGGGACCAGAGGCTGACGCCAGGGCCTTGAGGCACTCACCATCTTCCAGAGCGGAATCAGCGAGGCCTTCCATGAACAGAGGGCCTGGGAAGGCCAGGTGGATGGGGTTCCTTGTCCTGACTCCCCGGTTCTCTCCATCCAGGGATGTGGAAGGGCAAGGCAGGACACCCAGCTCCTCCTCCTCCGCACTGCCCTCCTGCTCAGGGTCCTCGAGTAGGACCGGGTGCTTCCCTTGGACCCTCTGCTGGGGCCCAGTACCTGCTTTGAATGAGAGAAGACTGCCAGGCGGGGAAAGGGAGAGGGCACGTATGGGAGAGCCCATGAGCAGCTTTGGAGCCAAGGGGCTGGGAACACCGATTCATTCTACGGTTGGTCACTGGGCACTTTGGCCGGCACTGTCCCAGGCTCTAGGCATACAACAGTAAGCAAAACTAAAAGATCCCTGCCCATGCGGAGCATACATTCTAGTGGAGGGACATACAAAAATAAGACACTTCAGTCAGTTATGCAGATTGTTAGAAGGCGGTAACTTCCACGGGAAAGAAGAAAGCAACAGAGTAGGGCATGGGGGCTGGTCAGTGCTGGCGTTAAACAGATTGGGCGAAGGGGACACTGGAACAAAGACGCGATGAAGGTGTGGCGTTGGGAGGAAAAGCATTCTAAGCAGAAGGAAACAACAGGGACCCAGCCAGGAAGCCTGAGACTTCTCCTCAAACCCAAGACCCCAGGTTACTTTACACACAAGCTCTCAATGAGAATGTCGTCCCCTCTACCAATCCCATCACGTAAGTGCATCTGAAGCGCTTTGAGTGCCCTGGCCCCCCATGTTTCCCATCCTTGTAGCTGCAGCATGCATCTCTCTCCCCAGCAGTAATCCCTGGAAGATGCAGGGGACCCCACCAGGCTGCTCCTCTTCCCCCATGGCTGACGCCATCACCCAGAGGCTGGGTGGGAATCTCTGGTCAGGTGAGTGAGCTCACACTTGCCTGTCTATTCAGTCTGCTCTCCTTCCTCCTCCAGACTCTTTCTCCCGCCCCGTTTCTTCTCTACTCTTCAAAACCTCACACCCTGGGCCCTGATGGCCTCTCCCATCGCCCCCATACTCACACCCAACCTGCACTGGCTCCCACCACACAGTTCAGGGCCCTTACCTCCAGGCAGCTCCTCAGGTTCAGGTTCACCATGGAACACGTCTGAGTCATCCAGTTCTACCCTGAAGGAGGAAACCAACCCAGGGTGAGATGTCATGCATGAGATTCCATCCGGGACTCCTGTGTTAGGATGGGTGATGGAGTAGGATCTGAGGACGGTGTGGGGCCTCCTCATCTGGCTGGTTTGCATGGCAACCCGGTGAGGAGGGGGGCTGCTGGCTGAGCTTCTCTGGTCCCCTGCTCTACACCCCAGTCACCCTACTTCAGGCTCAGGCTGTATTATAGCCGGGTGGCAGGCTGTGGGGGGAACAGACAGGGATAGGAAGCAGGGACAGGGGGCATGTTCCTCCATCTGCCAGCGCTTGGAGCTGTCTGTTCCCTGCTAGCATTTCCCTGTTGTGGCTGTCCACCCCTGGGGTGAAGGGCTTAGAAGCAGCAGGAAACAGGCGGTTTGGAGTGTAGAGAGTGTGGGGTCTGGAGGGCTAAGCGCTGCACCTGCTGGGTGTAGATCCCTGGTGGGCTGGCTCCTGGGGCCCTGGGGGTGGAGGATGGACAGGCATTGGGGCAGCTCCGGGGTGCCTGGTGGCATGCCGCACGGCCTCTTCTAAGAGCTCCATCCATCTGTTGCTCAGCAGGAACAGAGAGGACTGTAGTGAGAGCAAGACCACGGCACACACCACCCCCATGCTGAGCCCACTGCTTCAGGGCTTCCAGGTCCTTCTTCAGGCCCTAAGGACCCTCTGCCTGGCAGGTGCCCACCTCCCCGTACAGTTCTCCCTGGCTGCTCCCTTGGGGTTATATTACTTGTAGCTACCAAATCCTGGACACCAACCCTCTGCTACATTCTGTGCAAAGCCTTCTGTTTTCTCTCTAAAGTAATTCTCTAACAGGGAGCATTAGCCACATTTTACAAATGAAAACCCTGGAGGTGGGAAACGGGTTGACTCCAACCGCCCCCTTCCACTGCACCACGCCACCTCTGGTGGCTGCTGTCAGATAACATGGGCTGGGTGGGAGGCAAACGCCTGAGAAGGATGCATGAATCTAATTCGCCTGATGGTGAAGGGAGTAGGGCAGGAAGCAGAGAAGCAGCAGCAGCGGCTGCGGCTGGAAGGCTGCCAGGAGCTCATTCTCCCAGAGGCGGGCCTAGTGACCAGGTCAGGGGTTATGACCCCTCCCAGTTTCTCTTATTCTGTCCTACCACCTCCCACTTCCCTTCCCAACTCCCTGTCCAGGGACTGCTCTGGGGCCCAGCCCTGGCCTTGCTGTCCACCGTCCTCATACACACCACCCTGGTCCCAAGGGGACCGCAGTTACGGATGACCCCTCAATCAAGTCTCACGTGTTCTTGTCTGATGACGTCAATGCAACCAGCTCATAGATCTGGGGTGGGCCCAGCTTGGAGGTGCAGATGATGAAGAAGGCCCGTTTATCTGTGTGAGGAAAGGAAGGTAGAAGGGCCTGTACTAGGGACGGCAGGTGTGACTAAAGCCTGGGCCAGGGTGGCAGAGTGGGACCCAAAGCCCTGACCCTCAATGAGGATGAAGAATGCAGCATGAGGCAGAGATGAGTCATCGGGACCACTTGGAACCCACTTACACAAGGGACAGAGGAAATTCCAGGACCCCTAATGTCACCTTTCACAGCCACCACCATTCCTTTCACACTCTAATAATAGTGATGGCTGACGTGTGTATGGTGCTTAGGACTGACAAAATGGTTTTTTTTTTCTTGAGACAGAGTCTTGCTCTGTCGCCCAGGCTGGAGTGCAATGGCGAGATCTTGGCTCACTGCTACCTCCACCTCCTGGGTTCAAGTGATTCTCCTGCCTCAGACTCCCGAGTAGCTGGGATTACAGGCACCTGCCACCACGCCTGGTTAATTTTGTTGTTTTAGTAGAGATGGGGTTTCACCATGTTGGCTAGGCTGGTCTTGAACTCAAGACCTCAAGTGATTTGCCTGCCTTGGCCTCCCAAAGTGCTGGGTTTGCAGGCGTGAGCTGCTGAGCCTGGCCAGGAGTTTATAAAACTTTTTCATACCCGTCATCCCTTTTGATGCCTCCAAGAGGTAGGGTAGGTATCACTCCTATCTCACAGATGAAGGAAGTGAGCCCAGAGAATTTGGTTGCCTGACTCTTGCTCCAGAGCCCTTTCTTACACACACGGCACTTCTCACTGAAATGCCTTTGTCCAGTGGTCCCAGCTCTGTACCGCAGGTACTAACATCTAACATCTTTTGGAACCAAGCTCTGCTCAAGTCACTGTTGCAGCACAAAGGGGTGTCCTACTCATCCCGCCTAATCCCATTCCTCCCAGTCCTGCTTACTCTTACCCCATCCTCAGTGTGCACATCCCAACCAAACCAGCACTGCGCTGGAGGACTGCTGACCACCCCTGCGCAAGGCTGTCTAGTTTCCTCTTGGCCCCCCGCCAACCCTCATTCTACCCTGCTCTGTCCTCCTGCTTAGGCTGGGTCAGGACAGGAGGAAAGGAACACAGGTGGACAGGTAGGTCCTGTAAAGGCCCCAGACTGGCCTTGCCTCATCCAGCATTTGCTGGGCACGAGTAACAGAGATCACGGTCCCCTAGCCCGAGGACAGCCTGGACCATCTCCCCAGGTACCTGTGGCCACCGAGCGGATGAGCACGGCATTGAGCTTGAGCACAGGGCTGAAGGTCTGCTTGCTGTCTGAGGAGCCCACGGCAGTCTTGCTGTGGCACTTCAGCAGTAGCTTCTCGTCCTGTTTCTGTAGCAGCACTAGGAGGTCCTCCAGCAGCAGCACGTGAAGGTCTGGAGGGGTATGGTCGGGGAGGCATTCCCTGGTCCCACTCATCCCTCATGAGCACAGTGTGGAGCCTCAGGCTCTTGGAGGCTCTAGGAAGCCCTGGGAGTCTGGTGACCCCATTTCTCTCTCTGGTTACTCCTTTCCCATGTCCCAAGATGTCACCTCCAATCATGTTTCAATGCTTGGGAAACACAGAGAGAAGAGCCCAGGGAGGCCCACCCACTGCAGGTTCCCGCTCAGTCCCAGTGCCCTGGCACATACCCAAGGTCTTATCCTTGCTGATCCTCCAGGTCAGGGGCCCTTCATGAATCATTTTTCTGGTTGTAAGATCCAGGCTCTGTTAAGGAGACACCACTCATTCATTCATTCATTCAAGTATTTGAGAACCCACTGTGTGCCAGACATTGTGCTAAGGTGCTGGGAATTGGTGAATAAGAAACAGTCCTTGCCCTTACTCTCTTGTGGGGGATGAAGACAAGCAAAAAGGTAACTGTGAAGTCATGTGCCATGTACCAGCTGGGAGATATACTGATGGCTTTGACTTTGGGTCTCCCACCTGTCCCTACCATGTGCCAGCTACAGTCCTAAAAAGATCACACACTGCTTTTCCCGGCCATGCCTCCAGCTCCACTCCCTCCCAGAGGACCTCCACCTTACTTCCAGTTTTACCCTGTCCCCTGCTCTCTCAGGCTGAGTTCCAACATCTAGTCTTTCCTGGGTGGGGCTGTCTACCTTGTCCATCTAGGGATGGGTGACAGAGTATGTGTGTTTTGGGCTCCATCGTGCCACCCTGTCTGGTCTGTGTCTCCTACCTCTAAGACTCTCCAAGCCCCGGCCAGAGTTCTGCTCCTCAGGGTGCGCAACAAGTGTGAGGGGTTGACTGTGCTGGAGCCTCTGCCTCCTACCTTGAACTCTGCTGCCAGGGGATTGCTGGCCCTCTCCAGGGCGGTGGCATCCAGGCGTTTCTGGTAGCCCTCTAAACGGTGGCGGTTCTCTGTTTGCTTCACTGCTTCATTCACATACTTGAGAATCTCCCGGCACTGGTCCCGGGCCCGGCAGAGCTTCTCATGCTCGGAGGTGCCACCTACCAAACAGGACAGAGGAGATGGCTGGGGGTCCTGCCTGAGAAGTCTATCACAGTGTCAGTTGTTATCTGCCTGAATCCATCCATGGCAACTGGCTTGCTTCAAACCGGCAGGCATGGATGGGTAGAGGTGAGCCACTCCTGCTTCACATGAGAACCTCAAGTCATAAGGGTAACTTTTGCTGAGCATCACCAGGTCTCAGACAGATCAATGCCTTGAAGACACTGATAGCTCTTGGGAATTCCTGCCTCTAGCACAGCCAGCTCTACAGATGCGGGGGACAGACTGTGGGAATGGTCATGATCACGCCTCCAGGAAGCCTGTTCAAATCAGGCTGGGTTTCCTAACACTTCTCTGTCCTGATCCCAATGTCTGAAATTTGGTGGTAGTAAAAGATGCCTAGGACCCCAGGGACAGTGACAAGCTGAGGCTAGACCCCCTTGTTCAGTCTTGCCCCCTGCTCCTCTAGGGTTACCACACTGGCTGTGTCTTTTGTGCACTGCAGGGGGCATGAATGGGGATAAAGTCCAGCCCCATTCAACCAGAGGGACCCAGGTGCCCTTGAGTGCCTGCCTGTGCTAAGCACTGGATGCTTTCCCTGGATTTACACAAAGTCTCCACACAGGTGGGCCTCTGATAGTGGCCCTTACTCCTCCCGCTGTTGAATACCTTATATTTTCCAAAGGACATTTATAATCATTTTCTCCTCTGACATGCCCCACAACAGGACAAGGATGAAGACACCCAAAGGCCACAAGGCACGGTGACTTGCTAAGGTCACAAAGCAGTGCCAGAATGAGGGTCTGGCAGAAGGCCTTCTGCCTGTGGTGAGAGCCCCTCCCCAGGCCTACCCTCTGTGTGCTTGATGATGCTCTCCAGCAGCAGCGGGTACTTGGTGAGCCGCTGCATCTCGGAGATGATGAGGTCTCTCAGCTGCAGCCGCCGGCACTGAGGGTGGCTCTCAGCCTCCTAGACAGCAGGAGACACAGAAGGGAGGAGATGTCAATGTGGCTGGGAGCTGGCTTATGGCCTCAGGGCCAAGATGGATGTGAACTTGAGAAACAGGTCCTAACCCCAGATGGGTCACTCGGAAATGGTAGTGGCAGCTTCTTCCTTAAAGGTATAGAGAAGGGTTGGTGGTGGCAGGGAGACACCAACCCAAGGAAGGGACACAGAACAGAAGGGCAGGTATACTGCTGCCACTCTATAGACAAGGAAACTGAGATCCACCTCAGTGCACACAGGTGCTGGTGGGTAAGCCAGGCCTCTGACTGCTAATCCAGGATTCTTTTCAACAAACAGCCGTCTGTTTGTCTAGAGTGAGTCAGTACTTTTGAGGAGCTTGTGCAGAAGGATGGAGGGAGTCGCTGTAGAGAAGGAGGGTGTGGTCAGAAGGAGAGAAGCTCAGGAGACCCTTGGTGACCTTGATGGAGATGAAGGAAGGCCAAGGCATGGGTGAGACGTACCTGCATGAAGAGCTGGAATCGGCTCTCCTTGCGCTGCTTGGTCTTGATTAGCTCTAGGGCTATTGACTGATAGGAACAGAACTGTGCAGCCACCTGCTGGAGTTCCTCTCGGGCAGGGCCATCGAACTAAAGAGGCAGAATGGACACAGGACCAGGCATCACATCCCTGCCTGGGACCGGTCCCTGGCCTCCCCCAATCTCCTTGCCGAGAGGGAAAAGTTTGGAGCTATACCCGGGCCAGCATGAGGTCACTGATCTCTTTGATGATGGGGCCTTCCTCCCGGAGCTTCTTCATGGCTTCACACCAGGAATCTAGGGTGAGAAGAGAATAGCTAGAAATGCCTGGGGTTGAGCTCAATTGCCAGAACCTTTCTGATAGAAAGAAGTGAATCTCTGACATCAGTGCCATGGGAGGGTCTGGAAACCATTTTACTTTTGGGTGAACTCCAGTGCTGGTTTCAGGCTGTCCACAGATCTTTTTCTCACCAGGGATTGATGGGGGTTATCTACTCAGGGAGGTCCTGGCAGGTGGGCCAAAGTGGAACAGGAAGCTGAAGGGCAGCAGTGGAGGAGTCTGGAGGGGCACCAGCTCCTTACTGTGAATCTCTATGAGTTCAGGCAGGTTCGGGAAGAGTCGGGCCAGCTCCTCCCTGGGCATCAGGTTCTCCTTCTTCATTCGCTGGTAGAAGATCAGGTCCAGGACACGAAGTGTGCGCAGGTGGGAAGCTTCAGTCACAAATAGCTCTAAGTGGTGGTTGTGACAAGGAGGGTAGAAAGCCAGGGAGAAAAATAGATCAACAAGTGTCTAGAGTCCTCTACCACTCTACTTTTGGGGGAATTGAAATGCTGGTTTTAGATCATACAACAACTTTTCTCTCACCCCAAGGGCCAGAACTGAGGGGGACCTTACAGCAACAGGCAACGTGGAGCTGCTCCAGCCCACAGGGGCCCCCCCCACCCTATTTGCTTCTTTCCCATCCTTGTGTCTTAGGCATTCTGGACCTATTCCCAAGTGTGTGAGCAGAGCTGCCGGCACTGGTTCCCACGTATGTGAGCAGAGCTGCGGGCAGTGGTTCCCATGTGTGTGAGCAGAACTGTGGGCAGTGGGGCCCGTTCTCACCATTGATGACCTCTTGCCGGTCAATCTCCCTCTGAGTTAGCCCAGCCACCACATCCTTGCCCACTGTATGCTGCCAATTTTGGGCATCTGGCTCTGGCTCCAGGTCAGATAGCTGGCCTAGATCATCCTCTAGGAGGTGGGGAAGGAGGGCATCTGTGCAGAACCCCAGGCTGGGGGACTCAATGCTCCTAGGGGAAAACAGGCAGCTCAGCTTCACTCAGGAGGAAGAACTCACACACAGCAGTTGGCCCTCCCTCTTCTGCCCAACCTGCTTGCCCCATGCACATGGGAAACCAGTGGGCCCAGAAGAGGAGACACCCACCCAACCAGCCCCTTGTGGGTGAGAGAGCAGCTAGGTGTGGTTGGGACACGGAGACACCAAACAGAGGCATCACCATGCCCATCACTCACCTGCGGCCCATTTTGGGAGTGAAAGGAGGGGTTGGGTTCTCAAGAGACCTGTGGAGGGAATGTCAACTCTCAGCAACCCTCTATCCTTGTCCACCCCGCAAAATGACCATGGGTGCAGCCACTGTAGCCCTGCCTACCTGGTGGAGAGGCTGGAGGCGGAAGACGAGGCCGACTGGTGCAGGCGAGTAGCCTCTGCGGCAGCATCCATGTCAACATCACTGCGAGAGCGGGGCACGTTCTCTGCCTTTCGAGACCGTTTCATCTCCTCCCGGCCCTTGAGGCTTTCAGAGCGGCCCAGGCGAATCTCTGAGCGTGAACTGGGGAGAAGGGACAGAGACTTTGGGACTTGGGAAGCCAGTGGGCCATGCTTACATCCTGGCCAGCTCTTACCTGCAGCTCCATCTCAGGGGTGCCTCTGTGAGGCAGCTTCTCCCCCCCAAACATGGCCAAGGCACCTGGACGGCAGCGGAAGCTTCTCAGTGATAGGCCATTTTTGCTGCTCTACAAAATTCCCTCTCCCTAGCCTCCCTGATGGATGAACAGAGTCATCTTCCTCTGGAGCTATTAGGAAGGGATCCTAACAGGAAGATGAAACCTGGGGCAAATGAAATCAGAGTTGTAGTGTGTCCAGAGGCCTGAGAAACTGTGGTCCTGTCAGGAAGGTGGTAGACATCATTGTCCCTCATCAGAGACCACAAGGTCCCAGATTCCTGCCCCTGGGGCCGTCCAGTGGCCAGTCCACATTGCCCTTGCTTTGGAATGGGTCAGCTCCCACCTTCAACTCTGCTTGAGGCAGACCTCTTTTACAAGGTCTTAAGAGGAAAGCAGAGTCACTATATTGGCAGCTCATTTTAGGATATTCCACAACTGTCAGAAATTTCTATCAGAAAATTCTATCTGTTGCCTGTCAGAAAATTCTGTCTGCTGCTGGATTCCTCACCCTCCAGTTGTGATGCGGATGAGTTTCATTCTTTTTTTTTTTTTTTTTTGAGATGGAGTTTCGCTCTTGTTATCCAGGCTGGAGTGCAATGGCGTGATCTCAGCTCACCGCAACCTCCGCCTCCTGGCAATTCTCCTGCCTCAGCCTCCTGAGTAGCTGGGATTACAGGCACGCGCCACCATGCCCAGCTAATTTTCTGTATTTTTAGTAGAGACGGGGTTTCACCATGTTGACCAGGATGGTCTCGGTCTTTTGATCTCATGATCCACCCGGCTCGGCCTCCCAAAGTGCTGGGATTACAGGCGTGAGCCACCGTGCCCGGCCGAGTTCCATTCTTATCTTAACAGTACCCTTCCTAAGATTCCATTTCCTCTCAGGAGCAGACAGGCTTGTGTTTAAAGCGGCCTTTTTACTGATGGGCAGGACCTGCTCCTTGGCTGTCTGTGCTTGGCCACTGAGTGTCTGGGGTTTGATGAGATGCTGATGACTGGGTGTTGCGGTGTCGAGTCCTGCCATGTATCAGCCCGAGATAGCTGGCATCTCTGACCCCTAATCGCCCCAGGACGGTCCCCTACCCCCATGCCGTGGCCCTGCTGGGCTGGCTCTTTTCTGATATTATCAGTAATCTACATTCTGCTCTGCTTCTAGGACCACAGGAGGCCTGGAAATGTCTGCAGAGCTCTTAACAGCACAGCAAGTTGCTGCAATGAGGAGCTAAATGTCTCGGTCTCCATTCATCGTGGCCAAACTGCCAGATGATCCTAAATGGGGCTCATCTCCTGGGGTCCTGAGATGGGTTTATCTGCAGGGTTAGAAAACACACTACCCACTGATCCCCTACTAAATCCACCCTCCAGAATTCTATTAGAACAATCCTGACCCAGACTAGCTTGGAACCCTTTTTACAGCATCCAAATGGGTCCCTGTACCACCACAACAAACACCCAGTAGTCACTGGAGCTGCAGATGACTGCAGGTACTGCCTTCTAGAACTAGGGTATCTTAAACTTGCTGAGTATCTACAACAAGCTGTCACCCACCACACTGCTAATACTATTTCTTCTGAGATTGCCAATGAATTTATAATCATCAAATCCAAAGGCTTCTGCTTAGAGTGGCTTTAGGATCCTAGTGAATGTCTTAGGGCAAATTTACCTAACAATGCCAAGAATGCAAGTTTGTAAATGGTCTCAAATATTTTCTCAAAATGTTGATGTCTCATAATCTTAAAATATTTGCTGTATCTATGACATCATGTGCTACCACAGGAATCACATAATTTGTGTATTAATTAATGTTAGAACTCAATCTTTCCCCTAGTACAAATCTAACCTTTACCTCCGTAAATCTCTCAATTCTCATGACAACAAAATCTTTAAATAAGTGTTAAGCTGAAAAAAGGCTTCAGATAAACAGAAAGGAATAACCTGCACTCAAGCAGGAAAGCTTGACTCATGGTTTGATAATCATTTTTTCTTTCTTTTTTTTTTGAGATGGAGTCTTGCTCTGTCACCCAGGCTGGAGTGCAGTGGCGCAATTTCAGCTCACTGCAACCTCTACCTCCTGGGTTTTAGCGATTCTCCTGCCTCAGCCTCCCAAGTAGCTGGGATTATAGGTGGTTGCCACCATGCCTGGTTAATTTTTTTGTAGTTTTAGTAGAGACGGGGGTTTCATCATGTTGGCCAAGCTGGTCTTGAACTCCTGACCTCAAATGATCCACCCACCTCGGCCTCCCAAAGTGCTGGGATTACAGGTGTGAGCCACTGTGCCTGGCCTGGCAATTAGTTGTTTCAAAGGCAAAATAGGCCAGGTGCAGTTGCTCATGCCTATAATCCTAGCACTTTGGGAGGCTAAGGCAGGAAGACTGCTGTGGTCGGGAGTTTGAGACCAACCTGGGCAACGTAAGACTGTCTCAAAAAAAAAAAAAAAAATTAGCCAGGTGCATGCCTGTATCCCTAGTTACTCAGGAGGCTGAGATGGGAGGATCTCTTGAGCCCAGGGGTTTGAGGCTGCTTCAGTGAGCAATGACTGCACCGCTGTACTCCAGCCTGGGTAACAGAGAAAAAAAAAAAAAAAAAAAAAATCAAAGGCAAAATGGTTTGAATATCCAGACTCCTACATGCTGACTTGCTTTCATGCCTGCCTGCTCCACCTCAGTGGCTCTCAAGCTTGAGTGTACACAAGCATTATTCCCCGCTACAAGACCACATGACCATACCTTGAGGGTGACTTAAATAATTTGCATGAATACTTCTGACTACAGACATTTGATTTTAAGCGTCGGCCGTAGAATTTTAGACATGACTTGACTGCTGTCATGCCACAATCAAGAGCAAGGAAGTCCGAGAATATGTTTTCATGCCAGACAAGGACTCTAGTTAGAACCTGACCAAAGAAGGAGAATGTGAGAGATGCCAGTGTCTTAATCCCCTTTTCCTTCTTAAAAAAAAAAAACCAAACAGTTCATTTGTAATCAATCCACTTGGGCTCTCTTTGCTGAGGTGGACATGATGCCTATAGTTACATCCGTTGTTCAAGTATCTAGCAGAACCTCATCTCTGGCTCTTTTTCATACACAGACAGGAAACGACTTTCTTTTGCCTGCTGGGTCTTTATTTCTCAGGATTTCCTCTTGCCCCCACTACAGTCTTCCTTATCCTTTGTCACTTAGGGTTTCCTGATTAACTGCTTTATAATATCTAGCTCGATCTTAGATGAAGGCTACTGAGCCATCAGGTGGTAAATCCCATTTAAAAGGGCATTTTAGAAGTGTATAGTTCTTGGGCTGGAAGTCGGGGATCTCCTTGCTCTCCTACTGGCCTGCTTACCAGCACACAGTGTGTCTCCTGAAGATACTGGGGCTGGGAGGAAGTTCTGTCCAGGGAGCTTAGAGGCTAGTGGAGAGGGGTAAGGTAGCCGGAATGAAACCCTAGTATCAGCCCCAACCAGGCCCCACTCTTTGAGCAGGTGGCAAGTCCCATCCAGTCACTGCTACCTGTCACTCTCCAGCAGGTCCTCGGGAAAGCTTCCGGTTGAGAGTCGCTGTGTCCCAGGTTCTGGGGCGTCATACTGCTGATTGTTCTCAAAGTGCTGAATAATGTTCCTCACATTGCCTGGTTTGACTAGAAGCAAAAAGAAAATGAAGGATGCTAGGCTTGCTGTTCAGGGATGGCGTCTCAGACCCTGACTCCCCTAGATCCCAGAAGACAGAGCAATGAGCAAGCGTGGATGAGAACAGCACCGGACCAAGAGTCAGGAGATGTGCCTTGGTCCCAGCTCTCCTATGAATTCGCCGTGTGGCCCTGGGCAGTCATGCTACCTTTCTGGGTCTGTTCTTTCCTCATGTGCAAAATGAGAGGGTTTGGAAGTCTATTTTCCATAAACATTCTTTTGGCTTTCATATTATTACAATAATGCTTCTGCTTGAAAGTCATGATTAGGTTTTTCCTAAGAGCCACATACAGTTAAAAAAAATAGCCAGGAAGACCAAAGCACATCTACATGTAATTTGACAATGTTGCATTTCTCAAATTTAAATGAATTTTAGAGTTCACTATTTCTGCTTCTCTCTGTCTCTCCTTCCTGTCCTTTCTGCCCTTCTCTGGCCTCCATCATTACAGAATCAGACTCTCTAGTACCATGAGAGATGACCTAGGAGGAACAGAGGAAAGACTTCACTGGAATTCAAACTCCAGCCCCCTTTCAAAGCTAAGGCAGAAGAGAGCTGTTCTTGTTCAGAAAGACAGGGCAGAGGAGAGAGTGAAAAGCCACAGGTAATGCCATCTAGAGCCCCTGGGGAACTCAGACCGAGTTCCATGGCTCTTAGCAAGAGGAAAAAGAGATAAGAAGTTCACCTTCAAGTCAACTAGCTCAGTTCTCAGCCCAGCCCAGCGATACTAGAACAGCGGTGGGCTAGAGATGCTGGCTGCCTGAGACCAGCGGGAAGGATGAGTGGAAATGGGGAGGCAATATTAACAGCTCAGGGTCTGGGCCTTGATCCTAACCATACTAAGAGTCCTGCCCATGACTTCAGAGATTTTGACATCTGAAGTCATGGGCAAACTTATAAATATATAAACTTACAAATCTGTCTCAAAATCTGACTTTCATAAGAAAATTTCTTTTCTTTTCTTTTTTTTTTTTTTTGAGACGGAGTTTTGCTCGTTACCCAAGCTAGAGTGCAATGGCACAATCTCGGCTCACCGCAACCTCCGCCTCCTGGGTTCAGGCAATTCTCCTGCCTCAGCCTCCTGAGTAGCTGGGATTACAGGCACGCGCCACCATGCCCAGCTAATTTTTGTATTTTTAGTAGAGATGGGGTTTCACCATGTTGACCAGGATGGTCTCGATCTGTTGACCTCGTGATCCACCCGGCTCGGCCTCCCAAAGTGCTGGGATTACAGGCGTGAGCCAACGTACCCAGCCAAGAAAATTTCTAAGTCAGAGAAAACAGAAAAAAAAAATAAAACAGCTAGCTGCTGCCTTCAGAGTCTACACCTCCACAGCCTGTATGCAAGTGGCTAGGGAATATTTTTCTAAAACTGTGTAAGTGGCTATGTGTGCATATTACGGGAACAGGGGCTACTAACATCACTCTCATTTTGGAGATTAAGAGCAGATCTGCCTGTCCCAGCCTGAATGTGCACCTGGGCCTTGAAGCCATGCAGATGCCAGGGTCAGCCGAACAGACGCAGCCCTGAGCCACCCTGGCTGGGTGGTGATGTAGGAGTCTGGGAACATCCTATAATGGAAAGCCAACAGGCTGAGTCCCCTCTTCCCTTTCCCATGGGCCACTTGGAAATGCCCAATTGTGCTCTACATTGAGTTATACCTTACCTGTGGCAAGAAACAGGTGTAGCCCTGAGATCTGGTATAACTGAATGACCCAGAGTAACAGGGGAAAAACAGGCAGAAGGAAATGCATTTTTAAAAAGAGCAAAGTGGCTAGGTACATGGTGCCTCATGCCTACAATCCCAGCATTTTGGGAAGCCAAGGCAGGAGGATCACTTGAGCCCAGGAGTTTGAGACCAGGCTGGGTAATATAGTGAGTGAGACCCTGTGTCTACAAAAGGAAATTAGGTAGGTATGGGATACATGCCTATGGTCCCAGCTACTTGGAAGGCTGAGGTGGGAGGACTGCTTGACCTCAGGAGTTCAAGGCTGTAGTAAGCCATGACTACACCATTGCACTCCAGCCTGGGTGGCAGGGCAAGAGCCTGTCTCAAAAAAACCAAAAAACCAAAAAACCAAAAAAAAAAAAAAACAAAACAAAACCTCAAAAAACAAAACTGAGGACTGGATTTCAAGGCCATTCTTTTTTCCCCATTGTTTTATAAACTTTTTTTCATTAATTCTTTATTTTTACTGCTTAAAATGGCATAGAGTCTAGGAGTTAGTAACTTTTAAAATAATTTTGAATATTTTTCATTGCCACTTTTACATAAAATAAATTGTAGTAACAGAATAATTTCCTGACTGCATCCTATTGTGCTCTCTCTCTCCTTCTCTCTATATATAGTAGAACCTAGAAAGTGTTAATCAACTGCATGCATATGGACCTTATTAATTAATAGGAAATGAACTTGCTCAATTCTGTGACACTTCACTGTAGGCGCTAAGCTTCTTGTGGGTTAATGTGTATCACATTAATGTTTTAAATACACAGATTCTGGAAGGTATTAGGTCCTTTAAAGTACATTAAGGGTCATTCCTTTTTCACTGCCGTGGTTACACAGTGCTGGTAGTTAAAAGTCAAGAGAGATGGAGGTGCTATACTGAAGGGCTTAAGTAGATGATATGAACAAAAATACCCACGAGAAAAATTGTTAGAGACTCCTAATTTACTTTAAAAAAATCACCTTCAAAAATGAGAATTTTTATTATTATTTTAACTAAAAACAAAAATCTGAGGCACTGACTGGGTGTGGTGGCTTGCACCTGTAATCCCAGCACTCTGGGAGGCCAACGTGGGCAGATCACTTGAGGTCAGGAGTTCGAGACCAGCCTGGCCAATATGGTGAAACCCCACCTCTATTAAAAATACAAAAATTAGCTGGGCACGGTGGCACACGCTTGTAGTCCCAGTAACTCGGGAGGCTGAGGCACAAGAATCCCTTGAACCTGGGAGGTGGAGTTTGCAGTGAGGTAAGATTACACCACTGCACTCCAGCCTGGGCAACAAGAGTGAGACTGTGTCTCCAAAAAAAATTGAAAAAAACTCTACACTCTGATTCACTGCAAGACCCTTCAATGTGTGAGGATTCCTCTCATTTATATAGAACTCTGGATTTTTGGATGCTCATCCATGGAGATGTGACTGAATAATAGAGAAAAGGTCTCAGGCTGTGAAAACACTGCCAGAGGAACCAGAAGTCTAGCCTTGGCCAGAACTACCAGAAGGAGCTGTCCCTGCAGAAGAAGGGGCCCTGCCCCCTTAAACTCTGGGTTAGGAAACAAGGTCTTGTACCTGGCATGAGGGTGGTGCCCTCCCCAACCCCCCACAGGGTTTGTAGCACACAGCAGCTCTAGCAACAAGGAGCAATGCATAAGAGAAACGGAGAGGAGAAAGAAAGGGAGGGAAGAGGAACAGAAAAGTCAGGATTTGGGAGATGGAAACTCAATGCTAATGCAAAGACAAACCCAAAGAAAATGGTCCTTTTACCTTCCACAGGGGACAAGGGAATATGAAATGCTAAAAGAAAAACAAACAAAAACAAAAGTAAACCATGAAAAGTCAAATAAATGTTTTAAGAATCAAAACAAAAGTTACATCAAGCCAGAAAATGAAAAGGTAGTGGCAAAAATCAAGGCTGATCTTGAAGAATCCCTTTCCCTCTCCTGCAATGCAGCAGTTTCAGAAAGGGCAGCTGGCCCACCCCACTGCCCTTCACAGATTCCCACTGATGCTGGGGGGGGTTTAAGGTAATGGCTGGGAGGGGCCAACAACAATTTCCAGACAAATGACACATGCTGGGAAGAGATCAATGATAGAATCACTTGAGTTTTAGGTTATTGATAGCATTAGGGGAAACTCTGGGTTTCAAACTTGCCCCCAAACTGACTAGTTCTACTAATAGTGACTCAACCATCCCCCGCCTGCATCTGTACTCCTGCAGTCCTGTGTGCTGGGAAAAATGATAGGCCCTTGGATAAAGGTGAAGGGGGCATTTACTGTCCACAGGGCAATCCTTGCCAGAGGGAGATGTTTCTCACATGGCTGTTTGGTAGCTACAACTGTTCTGGGTTCCTAGACTAAGACCCAGGGACCGGCACGGCTTCCTTGGCTTGGAAACATCTGCCTGAACCTCAGAGATCCTGCACTGGATTTGGCAAGGGGAGAAAGTGGCTGTGGTCTCAGTTTGAGCCTGTGGCTCCCAGAAACACTGGAAGGCTCTCTGTCAACATACCAATATATAAAAGGGCTGAGGTCCCTGCCTAAGGAATGCCCAAGGTGTTGCTCCCCAAATACTCACTGCTTTGAGAAGAGCTTTTGGGCTTCCCAATGTATTTGAGGATGGGGTTTCTCTTCTTGTCCTCCAAGGCATCCTTTTCTTTCTTGGAATTGCTGCTCTGCTGAGACAGGAGACATTGGGGTTTGGAGGAGGTCCCGATACCCAGGTGTGGCTGCTAATCAATTCTGTCACTGTACCCCAAGGTTGACCCTCAGCAAATAACTGGAGAGTTGACTCTTGCTGGTACCCTATGAGTACATTCACCTCTGGCCTGGGTTTGGAATGGACTGAGAGCTGCTCTAGTCTGGTGGTTCTCACTGACTCCACATCCAGGTGGAGGGATATAGCCAGAGACCTGCAAGATGGCTTTCCTGATCTACCTCAGCACAGTGCACTGCACCAAGAGGAGGTATTTTCTAGGACAGCTCTGTTACCTTCTTTTTTTTTTGAGACAGAGTCTTGCTCTGTTGCCCAGGCTGGAGTGCAGTGGGGTGATCTTGGCTCACTGCAACTTCCATCTCCTCGGTTCAAGCAATACTCGTGCCTCAGCTTCCCGAGTAGCTGGGGTTACAGGCATGCACCACCACACCAGGCTAATTTTTGTATTTTAGTAGAGATAGGGTTTCACCATGTCACCCAGGCTGGTTGCAAACTCCTGAGCTCAGGCAATCTGCCAGCCGTGGCCTCCCAAAGTGCTAGGATTACAGGCATGAGCCACTCACTGTGCCCAGCCCTCACCTTTTTGGTCTTAGGGAAGAAGGGTAGCCACTTGTCCTTGTCAGGAGCAGACTGGGCCTTTTCAGCTGCATTAGAAGGTCGTGCCTCTCGAAGACGGATCCCAGCATGGCTCATGTAGGTATTGAGGGCAAAGTCCATGGGGGCACTGTAAAAGAGGAACAGCGTCTTCAATCAGAGAGCTCAAGTTATCTTCCTGTGTGTTTCACCACCACCCAGTGGAGTGGGGAACGAGTAGTTATAGGTCAAAGTATTCAAAGGGAAGTCTAGAGTAATTAAATGGGAGAGCAGGCAGAAGCTGGCTAAAAGTCTAGGCTGGCAGGACTCCCAGGAGAAGTCTTAATTCTTTCCTTAAGCAGAACTGTTCCCCATGAGCAGATGATGATCAGTGGAAGAACATGCCAATTTCCTAAAATGTAAGTAAATAATTTTCTGGCTGGTCAAGTCATAGGCAGACCTGGAGGACTAGCTGAGGTCGGCAGCTGATACTCTCAGGCATATGTGCAGGGGTGGGGAGGCCAGGGGAAAGGAGAAATGGTAAGCAGCCTCTGCCAAGGTATACTGCTGTCACCATCTTCTCATCCCCAGTACAGAGAAAAAGAGATGGAAAAGGAGCTGTCAAGTGGCTTCCAATTGTCACAAATGAAAATGTCCAGAGCTCTGTGTTTAAAAATGCATTTGTACCCATAATTTCCTGGATGGATGATGATCCACCCTGTGCATTCAATGCAGCAAGGTTTCAGCTCTGGCTGTTTTTCCCTCTTCAACAGACTCCTAACCCCATTTTCTCTCCCCTATTAGTTTGTCTGCTCAGGGAGTGCAAACTCACTTTAACCTCGGCTAATGAAAAACAATGAGATAAATATATAGCTTGCAAAAAAAAAAAATTCTAATGTGTGCCAAGAAAGGAACTGTGCTGCACCCCAGCTCCCCTCTGCAGATGCCGCTAACAGGCTGACTTCATGATTACCGTTACCACTTTAGGTGATTTAAGGGAAAAAAGTGGCTCATCTGGGTAGAGAAGCTGCAGCAGGTATGGGACTGTGAGGAGTGATGGCAGCTTGGTGTCTTCCCAATGAGGAGCAGGCCCGCATGCCCAGGCAGTGATCCCTGAACATTGGGGCATGGGCCTCATGATCCCCTATATTATGGCCACACAGACCCCTGAGAGCTAGACTTGCAGGAACTATGGTCCCGCGTGGTTGTACAACACTAGGGACTCGTCTGAAATGGAAAGCAGAGTAGCTCAACCCACTCCTTCCACCTTGAAAGCTGCAGATGCATATCATAGACTTGCTTACCTTCTGTCTTCCTCATACTTGGACCTGGAATGAAAGAAAGAATAGATGACTCAGACTGCAAAGACAGAGGCTGGTCACCTGGTCAGACGCTAGGAGGATGGTAAGTTTTTTCCTAGATGAAAGGAGGGTTAGTGGGGGAAAAGGAGAGAACTGTTTGATGCGCAAGTGTTTGGTACACAGCAGGAACTCCATAAATATTTGCCGAGTTGAAATATCAGCCTTAGCAGAGACAGCATACATTTCATCCTCTTTGCTATTTTGACTTTGTCCTTGAAGTGCCTGACTGTGCCCACGGATCTGACTTGTATGGAATGGCTTAACCAAGGTCACATAACTACTTAGTGAGAAGCAGTATTAGGCAAAAACTTGCTTCTCAGCCTGAAGTGTCCCCACAAAGACTGTGATGCTGGGGCTTGCACCACAGGAGCCTATGACGCGTTAGAAAATGGGGCTAGGAATGCATAACAAAAGCAGCTGTGCCAGAAGCGCCTTAGTATGATCCACTAGTTCAGTTTTCTGATGTGGATGAGTAAAATTTCTCCTAAACCAGTTCTAGCTGCCTCCTGAAAGAACTTTATCTGCTGGGCACACACAGTACTGGCCTCACTCACCGTGACAGGTAAGATCTTAGAGGCAGGAAGGGAGAGAGGTCAGGAAGAGGGCCAGCAGGGGAAGCAGAAAGCTCATCACATTTGTGGGGCCCGTGGTCTGTCATAACCACCAAATGACTATCAGGAGCTCTGGGCTCTGCCACACCCTTGACATCTGCAGCCCTCAGCCTGACCAATGCAGCAGGAGGGCATGACTCCCCCATCTTCCAGGGGCAGGAGAATCAGGCAAGAAGTGGAAGAAGGCGAGAGACTGAAAGAACAGATCCACAAAATACGTCAACCTGCTTGGCACGTTCAGTGGGGAGGGAGGAAGCTGAAGACTCACAAAATATCTCCAAGGGCAGCCAGCTGCTTCTCGGCCACTTGGCGCTCTCGGAGAGGGTCCCCATCCAGGTCCAGTAGGTCGTTTTCACCATACAGGCTGCCCAGGCCCAGAGTGCGCTTCGTTCTAAGCCAGAGAAACACAGGTAAAGAAAGAACTATACACAAATGCTCAATAGATGGACACCCAGAAAGAGTGAGGCAGACACACATAACAAGAGACACATGCAGGCCCCAGAGGGAAGGAGAAAGGGCCAGTGGGTGGAGGTGCGAGGAGAGTGGTGGGAGGGCAGCTTCTGGGCCAACCTGTAGTCGTGGATCTGCTCCTGGATCTCAGGCATGGCTGCCTCTTGAGCTTCACAGAGAACGCCGCGGGCGTCCTCGCTGTTCCGCAGGCGCAAGTCTGTAGTGGGAGACCAGAGAAGGCACAGTGGGTGGGGTACTGGGGCTGGGGGGAGGTCACTTCTGCTGAGCATCTCAAGGCATTTCGGCTCCCTGTGACACTGGGAGGAAGGGCTGGCTTTCTGTCCTGTTAGTCTAAAGGAAGAGGAGGCCTGGACCTCTCAGAGCATTCCTGAATTCAGGACTGGAATCCTGATATGCAAAGTCCACAGCAAGGACAAAAATATTTTCTGGATGTTCTGTGCTCCATTGAGAGAAGTATTAAAGCCACTCCATCAGATGTGTCTAAGTGCTATTCTGACATCCAAGTGCAGACCAAGGGGTCTGCTCTGAAAGGGTTGCTCCCTTCTACTGCCCCAGAAGCAACTCACAAGGCTAAAAAAGGCAAGCACTTCACATTCCATGAAACCTGAGCTCCCTAATATTAACCGAAAGATGTCTCTCCTCTAGTTCCTGCATCCGTCCCCACCCAGGCTAGGCTAAGTCCCTGGGAGCTGCACTTCACTCTCACTCTGCTTTTGAGCAAGCTCTGTTCACCCTCTGCCTGGGCTCATAAGCTTTCCTCCCTGTCACATGTGCCCACAAAACATCTCTTTCTAAATGCAGCTTTCAATTCCTGTCCTCTAAAAAGCTGCTACTGATTAGCTTCTCAGGCTGACATCACCTTAGACTGCCTCTGCTTAATTCTTCTTTTCATGATTAGAAGGAGAAGGGAGCCGGGCACCATCTAGCCTGCTGGGTCCTCACTCTGGACTAGCTGCTGTCAGTTCCTTAACTTTTATAAGTTAAGGAACAAAAACAACCCTCCCCCCACCCAAAAAAAAAACCAACAAGAAAAACCACCCTAGATTCCAACTCTGCAGGAGGATGGAGTGAGGCCCTAGTTTCTCTATTTTTTGTTCCCCAAGGGATTCTTGATAATCAACCTGGCTTAGGAATCCCTGATCAAGTCTGATTTCCTCTTTGTACAGATAAGCCAGCAGAGGCCCAGAGAGGTCATGTGGAAGGGTGGCAGACATGAACCTGGGTCTCCTAACTCCAAGTCCACTGTCTTCCCATGACAAGCTCCCCACGGCAGAATGAGCGCCTAGGCAGGGTCTGTCCCATTTGCGCCTGTCCATTAGCTACTGTGTAGTGTTCTGGAGCAACTGTCCTATGGGTCCTTTCCCCTATTAGAGGACGGTTGCCCAAGGACAGCGACTATGTTCCTCCTGTCCACTGGAGCCTCCTGAGAGCTCGGGACAAGAAAGGCACCAAGTGGAGACTAACTGACCAATGAGCCAACTTACCGATTTCAGCCTGTAACATCTCAGGGATCTTCACTCTCAGAGGCTAAAAAACAGAAGTGTGGAGCAGAAGTGGTCAGGTCTGCACAATCCAGAGAGATGAACAGCGTGCGGGGTGAGGAGGGCTTGGCCACATGCCTTTTTGCCTGCATCTGCCCACCATCCTTCTCATTACTCTCCAACTGCATACCTGAATTCTAGGCTAGGATTTTTGGGAAATGGAGTCTGAGGCTACAGAGCAAGCTGGGACTATATTCTGAGAGTGGCACATGCAGTTTCTTCCACTCTTATTTTCAGGCCATTAGAGTACATGGAATGGCATGTTGTCCAAAAAGTGGACCTGTGCTGACTTAGCAGCAAGGGGAAAGCCTTCATTAGGCTATGTGGTGAACTTTCCCTCCCCCTGACTCCCAAGGGAAAGCTAGCCTTGTGTCACCCAGTCTTGCAGTTAGTATGGTGTCTGGATTTTGCTACACAAGTCCTTGAAACCTGGGTACTGGAGCGGCTCCAAACAACCAACAGAGAACAACCAGCAGCTCTAACCTCCCTACTCAAGACCCATTTAAGGGGGCAAATATAAAACTCTTGTTTTTTTTTTTTGAGACAGAGTCTCACTGTTTTGCCCAGGCTGGAGTACAGTGGTGCAATCTCAGCTCACTGCAATCTCCACTTCCCAGGTTCAAGAGATTCTCCTGCCTCAGCCTCCTGAGTAGCTGGGACTACAGGCGTGCACTACCATGCCCAGCTAATTCTTTTGTATTTTTAGTAGAGATGGGGCTTTACCATGTTAGCCAGGATGATCTCGATCTTCTGATCTTGTGATCCACCCGCCTCGGCCTCCCAAAGTGCTGGGATTACAGGTATGAGCCACCGCGCTCGGTCAAAACTCTTAAGAAAAACCAATTTTCTCCAACCTCATTAACCCTACTAGCTTACTGCCAGAAGAATAAAGTCACCTTGCAATTAGTTTAATTGATCAGATTAGAAAGTCTGGGATGGCAGTTGCCCTCTGCAGGTAGAAATGCTCTTGCCTGTGGGATCCCTGACACACCCCTGGGAACTCTGCGCCAATGCACAGGGTGCTGCCTATCCTAGACACTCAGAGGCTCCCCACCTCTGACTCCTGCCTTTGGGTGGTAATAGCAAGTCAGACTGAGCTTCAGAAGCCAGGATTCTCCTCTTGCCTCACTGATCTAGATCATCTGATGTCTTTAGACCTCTGATTTTTCAGCCTAGAGACGGGCAAGACAGGGAGGGCTGGGGGGAACTAGGTCGCTGTATCAGGGAAGAGTAAAGAGAATCTGGTACAATCTCCTCCTCCAAACATTCCAGAAAGACACAATGTGTATTCTGGTGGAATAAGAGGTACAGTGAGATTTTTTGAGAGTGGTGCTGGAACAGAATCCAGGGGTACTAATCTCTCAGCCTAGATTTCTCTTTAAGAACATGTCTCCATTTGGTCTGAATGTTTTGCTTAATTTTCCTCTGCCTCTGGCCAGTTCAAAGAATATAATAAAATTATAATCCAATCTATGACTGCCTCACCGCATTTTTCTCCAGGAAAATACTCCAGATGTCTTTCCCCAAGCTTCGGGACTCCTTGGGGCTTGTCTGCTGATAAACTTCTGCACACAGGTAAAAAAGCTGGAGGAGAGATAACTGGGTTAGAGCAGTGGTTTTCCCCCAGCAGTAATTTTGCCCTCTAGGGGACATTTGGCCGTATCTGGAGACATTTTTAGTTGTCACAACTACTGGGCGAGTATGGTGCTACCGGCATCTAGTGGGTACAGCCTGGCGACGCAGCTCTATTCCCTAAAGCTGCAGGACAGTCTACAACAACAAAGAATTCTCCAGCTCAAAACGGTGCTGAGGTTGAGAAAGCTGGGGTCAGACCATTTCAGAAACCTGTGGTAAAATAATCCCCACCCCCTTCCCACAGGCACATCTTCAACACTGATCACGCCTCAACTCCACCTCCTCTCCACACGTGGTATTTCACTTGCGTCTTGTGCTTGTTTATGTCTTGTTTCCTAAGGGTCCATGTTTTACTTCTCTCTGTGGCGTGCCCTGTCTTATTCAGGAATGCTTCCGAGTCACCAGCACTTGGACTTGCACACAGGTGTTCAGTGAATACCCGTGGATGGCTGTTCATTCTGGCTTCTGATAGTATCCCCAGAAAGACAAAACAGCAGCCCATGCCCCAGGTGAGAAGTTTATTCTGAAGAATACAACCCCAACCCCTCTCCTCCATCTCCCTTTCCTTTCTAAGCAGCTGAGCAGAAGGAGGAAACTGGGAAGGCTGCTGGCTCTGAGCACTGTCCCCAGACACTTTGGTCTCCATGCCCTCACTTTCTCTCTTGTCATTGCCTTCGCACAGAAGACCCTTTCAGCCTTGCCATCTGCAAGTTTTCTCACAGGGCTACTGTCTCAACTCCCTAGTCAGTCTGTATCTACCTTCATTTAAAAAACTCTAGGAAGAACGACTTCTCCAAGATGATGTTCTGAACTGATCAAGAATGAGTTTTCCTGGCCTTGCCCTCTTACTCCTCCCTAGGCAACTGATGTAGTGAGTTAGCTGTGTCATACAGTGAAAAGTCCCTTCTGCATAGGTTTCGTCTTCTTGGCTATTTTGTCTCTGTCCTTGAAGTGCCCGGCTGTGCCCATGGATCTGACTTGTAACAGCTAGGGAGCAGAAAGAGAGGCTAGAGGTTCTCTCTGTTCAGCACGGCAGGCACTCAATCAAGACGGATGCTTCTGACTTACCAGTGGACTGGGGTCCGCCTGAGAGAAGATGTAACGTAGAAAAACCCCCAGGTGAGCTGGCCGAGACTTCAGTTTCTCCAGATCCTGGAATATGATGTCGCTCTGAAAGGCAGAAGGATGAGTGTGATGGGAGGCAGGGCACAGCAGCACAGCTGGTTCCAGCTTAGCTCCCATGTGATCCCCCTTCCTGGGTTCATAAGAGAACGGCTCCCCGCCCCAAGTTCCCTTCACAGCTGGTGCTAGTCAAACTGCTTCTAGTCAAGGGCATCTTGTATGACACACACAAAAAATGATGAAAGGAGAAAACTAGGAAACCGTTACCTCGTTGTTGAAATAACCCGGGTCATAATCTTCCTCTGGGCCAATAATTAAAGGCTTTGGGCTTTGATCTACACCCTGGGGGAGAGAGAGTCAAGCTGCAGAGATGAGAGGTTATAGAGGACAGAGGGTTCAGCCACCTCAGTGAAGTCTGTTTAGCTGCAGCACACCCAGGTCTGGTGAGTGCTGGCATCTCACTCCTGCCCCCAAATCAGAGCACAGATGAAATGATTTCCACTTGCAGGAAGTCAACTGCTTCTGGGTGGGGCAGGGCAGATTCAGAGCAGCCTGGTCACATGACATATGAAGATGGGAAGTAGGAGAAAATGTTCTCTTCCTGTTTGCAAAAGATCTGGGGAGGGACTGTCAGTCAACAATATGAGAGCCTATAGCTCCTGCTGAACTGCTGGGATGCGGGTTCTGTTTTCCTTAACAGCCACCACCACCCCAAACGCTTACACCTCCAAACAAAGTGTCTACCACAGTGCTACTGAACAGTTATTCTGTGCCTAGTAAGTATGGCTGGCTAAATAACTATCAAGAGACTCTACTAGTAGATCTCTGCCTCTCTGAATAAATGGCGATGTAGCTGATCTTTCTCTAACACCATTTGCATTATTTCCCCTGCCTGCTCAAGAATCTGTGGTAGATCCCCATTACCTGTCTAAAACCCAAATTTCTTAGTCTGGCTTTTTCTTTCTTTCCTCCTTATGCTAATTTAAATAAAAACCTAATCCTAATGGACATACCACATATTAGGAACGATGAGAGACTTCGTATTGCATAAACTTCTCAGATGCTTCATTGTACACATTTTTCTCCTAAAGGTTCTTTGACCTCTCAAGGCTTTTCTACCAACTCTATTTCTCATTCCATTTAATCTCCTTCATTTCCAGTGATTCCCCAACAAGGGCTCTGCTTCTGGAACCCACCCAGCTTGCTTGTGCCCACTTTAACCCAGGCCTATGATACCCTTCTAACCCACTTTCTTAAGGGGCTTTTTCTGACAGTTCCTCTGATGCTCCTCACCCCTTTTTTGTTTTCCTGGGTATTTATGGCCTCCATGCCCAGAATGAGTGAATCACAGAATGAGTGAATCACATGAGTGGCCCAGAGGATATCTCAGAGACTAAAGTCTAACACTCATTAATTATTGAAAAAAGTGAGGCCCAGACAGACTGAATGGTGTGCTCAAAGTTGCAGAATCGGGCCTGATGTGCTGTATTTGTATTTCCCAGAAACATCCCGAGTATCCTCCTTTCCTAACACCTTAGTCTCTGAACCTCTTGGGGTCCGAGAGCCCCAGGAGGTGGTGGGCAAGCACTTCCGGCTATCCTAAGCTCTCTGGTGAAATCTGAAAAGCACTAGGTTGTTGCTTGTTTAGGAGGAGGATTTTGTTAAAAAAGGTCTTTACAAATACATATTCTTTCTGATTACAAAAGCGGAGTATGCTTACTATTAAAAAGATCAAACATTATAGAATGATACAACAGAAAGTGAGAGGTCCTTATGCATCCATTTCCCTGCTGCTAAGTTTTATGGAAAGTCTAGGTTTTCTTCCTCTGCTGTTTATTAACATTTATTACTATTAAGAAACTGGAATTATACTCTATTTACTCTTAACACTTGAAAATAGCAACTTAAATAGTTTTCAGAAGACGAAAAAATTTCGAAGAGGAAAACAAGGGCTCCAAGACCATCTACCCCACATCTGCTTCTACGAGCCACTTGAAGGAAAGCCTCTCCTAGAACAGGATAGATGCCTGACCCCTTAGCAACCTGAACGCGGTCCTTTAGTTCTACAAAGACAGGGTGGTAGAGAGAGCAATGAATCAGTGGCTAGGATAGGAAAGAGCCCTGTGTTGGGGCCCAGGAGAACTGAATTCTAGTCCTGACAGTCACATGGTTAGTCCTTGAACATTCCCTTAGCCTTTTTTGTTCCACTTTTCCCATTTACCGCTTGAAGATTCTAATGGCCACCCTTTTTCCTGATTGTGAGATTACATGAGATTTTTGGTAAAGATCTGGTAAAGCAGCTGGTATACTAGGCATTTTAATATCCATCAAATCCCTTTTCCCACCTTTCCCCTCCACATTCTAAGAATAACCAAATTTTATACAATGGGTAAAACTAGAGCATCATATGTTGTTGTCTTTTAATTCTATTTTTTGAGAATTCGGCAGCCCAACCAGAATAGGTTCAGAGAGGCTTGCTCACACGTATTCTTTTGCACAGTAGCTCTTGATTAGAATTTTCTTTTGATGCCACATAACTCTAGATTTATAAAAAAAAATAGGTTCACCTAGGCCACTGTCCTCTTTACTACAGATCACACTGTGAAACTTCAGCTTCAAGAAATTTAGGAGCTCTGTGTCCTGGATAAGTCCTCCCCTAAGATGCCACTCAGAAGACAATATTGATTACTCCCATTCCAAAGTATTCACTCATTCATTCACTACACATTACGAGGTGGCTACTATGTGCCCAGTGCCTGCATGGATAAAGCATATAAAGTTGAGGTAAGCTGCGTAGGGAAATAGCAGCAGAGGGATAAATGCTCTAAGAGAAAAAAGATGCTGCTTGGAACCCTGAACTCCAAGGTGAGAGGACAAGTTTTCTAAAATCACAATGCCACCAAAGACAGCTCAGTGAGTAGGATCATCGTCTGCTCTGTTTTCTTCCTTGTGCCATCTTTCCCTTTATCCAAATTACTTTAGAGAGCCTATCTTCTGAAGACCTCCTGCACTCGGTGACTCGGGATCCCAGAGTCAAAAGAACTCCAGAAAGGAGCTTTCAAACTTTCTTTTGACCACAACTTCTAATAAATGTTTTCACTGCAACTTAGTATGTAATTAAAACAGAAGTTTCACCAACTTATACTCTAACCACATGTGATGAATTCTGATACTTTCTTTTCCATGCTGTTAGATTCTACTTCATTGAAATAGATGCTACACATGAACTTCAATATTGTTATGACTCACCAAAAGGTGACGACCCAGTTTGAAAATACCACCTGTATAATTCTGACACCAATGTTTTCCGTGTGGGAAGTGGAACTCAAGATGATTTTAAGTGAGATAATTTTTGTTGAGGGTCAAAATGATCTTAGGTGACATGGACCTGGCATTAAATAACATTGGCTCATCTCGTAAGAAAGTTTGTTTCTTTTCAGTTCTCATTCCATCCTTTTGATTAGCCCAGAAAAAATGTCAGCCTGGTGCCTGCATAGCTTTAATATCTTTAACCAAGGCAGAAGTGGCCTCAAGCTTAATTAAAGCCTTTGACAAGCAACAGAATTGAGCTAGTTTATTTTTCAGCTTGTCTTAAATTTTCTCTCTCTCTTTTTTTTTTTAGTAATTTTTTACATCATGTAGTTTTAAATTGAAAGGACACAAAGGAGTAAATATAAAATAAAAAGTCTTCCATCCACTTCACCCTCAAGCCACTTAATTCCCCTCCTCAGCAACAATAACTATCACTTATTATCTCTAAATATTCATTTAGAGAGGTCTTAAGAAAGAGGCTCCTTTTCCTCTTTTTAATATAAATGGCAGCTTTCTTCTACACTGTTCTATATATTTCTAGGTAGAATTTAACAAACTTGGTTCTAAACATATTTAGTGTTACATTTACTCTGCATTTATAGTGTGTGATGTTGATTTTAATTTAAGGTAATGACAGATTTCCTTAAGATGAATTTAGGTTTAAAAAACTGAGTTGGCTTAAAGAAAAATATTAAGTAACCTTATATAGGTAGAATGTTGAATATTTAGATGTCTAACCACATCTGAACATTGTTAGATGCTAATGTTGTTAGGCACCGTTGACAGTGTCTGAAAAACAACAGGACAATTCTCTGGCTCTCGTCAGGCCACTCCATTGCCAGACAGCCCAGCTTCTTTGCAAGCTGTGTGCATTGAGTCAAAACCCGTCTTCTTGAAGTCTCTCCTGGATCTAGCTCTGCCCCTGAGAGTAGGGCCTTTCAAATCAGGTTTTGCAGAACCTTAGGGCTCCATGGAAACGCCCTTGAGGGCAGGGGGTTGCTGATCAGTAAAGGTCCTAGGAAAGCTGAGTTTTTTTTTTTCTTTTCTATGTTAGGGTTCCACATAATAAGATTTTGTTTGAGAAAGGATTTTGCTAAGGAACAGGGAAAATGAAAATTAGTATCCTGGAGAAACACTGCCTAAACCTATTTCCTATTCTATACAGACAGAAAGACCAGCTATCCGCTCCTTAGCTGTTACTTCCTACAGGTACATTCACCTAGTCTTCACACAGAAACTGAGACAGCCCCACTTTCATATTTCTATTTATGCATGTTCTCTTTCTTTCCTGTTTGCTCTCTATGTAAGTGACTGTCTCAAAGTTTGGGTCGCTGAAGCAGGGGTTAGTCTGATGATCTAAGACCATGTACTGGAAACACACACACCTCCAAATCTTGCTTCTGAGAAAAGAAGAAAGGAAAACTGCAAGGAGGCTCGGGATCACTCACCTGGTCACCGGTTGAGGGGACTGCTGCATCCGAGCCCTGCCGCCTGTGGTGCTGGGCCACCCTGGCCATAATCACAGGGGAGGTTCGAGGACTGTCTAGCCCAGGGTCTGACAGCACCGAGTTCCGATTCATCAATGACTAGAGAAATGGAGAATTCTGTGAAAAGGAACCTTGTCCAGAACACCCTCAAGGCTCAGCTCATTTGGTGTCGGGGGTGATAACCATACTTACGACATCAGCTAAGGGAAGTGCAGTCCTTGCTCTGTGCCTGGCATTAGACTAAGCCCTCCATTATATATTATCTCATTCCTTTCTCACAGTAGCCCTTTTAGGTAGTTACTATTATGCGTCCCACTTTCACACAAAGAAACTAAGACTCCAAGAAGTTACAAGACTTGCTAAGTCAGAGAACTAGTCATGAGGTATATCCTGGACTTAACTGGGGCAGCCTCAGCCCACAGCACACACTCTTCATCACCTTTCAGATAACGTCAACTGTAGATTCTTTGGGATCCCCATCCCACTCCACCTTCTCAATGACTTTCCCACCTTCTGATCCTTTCACATACATTTCATTTTCCCGTGGACAGGGCAGTAAGAAAATAAAATTCCAACTGTTATCTAAAGTTAGGTTTTTAACACATTTTCAACCACATATTCACATATGTAATTACTCTGGCTAAGCAGATGTTTTGCTAACTTCATGACTACTTCTTCCATGCATTCTGCCTTCTGTACTGCAGTTTACAGTTTTCAGAAGCAAACTGAGAACACCTGGAAGAGATAACCTTTGAATCAAAACCTGAAATTCTTGTAGTGATTCCAGAAAAGACAAGCTGTTTGAGAAGAAAAAGATCCACAGCAAAAAAAAAAAAAAGACTCCCACTTTCGAATAGGCTGGGGTCACTGTATTAATATAAGATGTCATTCCTGGACAGGTGGAAATGTGGTTTTGGTCATGTCACTGTTTTAGATTACTTCGTCTTTGCTCCCTCGCTCTCAAAGGCTTGCCACACAGTTAATGCCGTGGCCTCCCTCGCCATCCTACTCTTTATATAATAGAGTTGACTATGATAAAATGGAAGTCAGATTTGATAATCTTGCATGTTGGGTGCATTTGAAATTTCTGCTTTGGAACCCAGAGCACAGTGATTACATCCTTGGAAATGGAATGATGGAAGAAGCACACAGAGGCCTCAGTGCAGCTGGTAGGCAGCAGAGCCTTGGGGCAAGGGGGATACCGAATGCATGTTTTGAACAGGCCTTGCCCTGCTGGGACTCACCTCACTGAGCGAAGGAAAGCGTTCTGTCCCAGAGTCCAAGCCACTGTCCCCCTCCTGGGAATCCAGAGAAAGCCGGCCTGAGAAGAAAACAGCTTATATAATATGGAAAGAGGCTCTCTTTCTCTCTGGAGGAAAGAGAGCCTCTATTCTGGGCACCTGTGCCCAGGGCAGGAAGGGGAAGCTGCCACCTTTTCTTTCACCAGTTTCCCTTCAGCTCTCTCATCCCATGACCCCTAGACTCAAACACTTTCCTGGCACACCTCCCCTCTGCTCTCCTCACATCTAGCTTTCACCTGTCTCTGCACTTGGGCACAGGCTATGTCACCACCTGAAATAAGACTCCATAGCTCTCTCTCACAGTTTTGCCCCTCCACTCCTTCTCAACCCTCTTCTGGTCACCACCCAGGTCGTCTTACAACAAGTATTTGCTAAATTCCTTAGTGCCAGGAGCTGTCAGTCAAGCTGCTCTCTGGACCATACTCATTCTGGTATGTTCCAGGCCCCTATCTGTCCCAGCTACTGGCTATACACTCATTTCTACTGCCTAAGTTGTATCCAGCTTCCCTGTGTATTTGTGCTGCTTTCTCCCATTATTCCATTTCTCAGAGGGTGGGCATGATGTATTTTCTTTCCCGGAATCTGCCCCATGGGGAGGAGAAATAGGTAAGAAACCTGGATTAGAGATATGCCAGAGGAAAAAGGGGTGATGGGGGGGACTTACCTTCTGATTGTCTCTGGCCGGTGTCACCACATAGTGAAAGTATGTCCTGAAACAGAAAGGTGGGCAAATTCTGTGAACCTCTCTCCCTATGGTTTCCTTCTGCCAATCAGTGCCTTATTTGCTTACAATTAGTGGCCTCTTCTGCTTCATTGCCTCAAAAATGCCCAGCTAGAAGAGATACTGCTTCATTTGTACAGTTTGAGGATGACAATGACCCCTAATGGTGGAAAGGGAGCTCTACCATTAGCGAAATTCTAAAAGCTAGCTTTATCTAATCACCCTGGAGTGCCTTACTTCGGGTTGGATACAAGAAAGAACTTCTTCACCATCAAGAAGTATTAAAAAAATTCAAGCAGGTGACCAAGGGAAGATATAAAAGGTTTACCTTTGGAGATCTCTGAGGAGATAAGACTGGCCTGAGACTGACTGAGCTACAGGATGTGGAGGAAGCAATGCTGATAGCGCTTTGCTGTTTACAAAGCACTTTTCTACATCACATTTAATCTTTCAATGGCTCTGGCTTAGGCATGTTACTCTCATGTTATAAATGAGGAAACAAAAGCTCAGAGATCTTAAGTAACTTGCCCAAGGTACACAGCAGGTCAACCCTAAAGCCGGGGTTGGAGCTCAGACCTTCAGATTCCAAGCTTAGTTTCTCAGACTCTTCACCTCATAGCACAACCAACAGCGGCAGTGGCAGCAGCAAACATGTCTGGCCCCCGTGTCAAAGGCATGCTTTAATGCTGACAACTGTGATCTCCATTTCATAAATGAGGAAACAAAGGCTCCTATAAATGAATTAAGTTGCCCAGGAGTCTTTAAGCTGATGAGAAGTGACGCTGGATTTGAATCCAGATGGTGTAAGTCCTACCTGTCACCCACGTAATATGAGAAGTCCTTCAGAAAATGAAGCAGTTTAAATTTTTTTGCTTGTGTTTCCTAAACTTTTTAAGTCTGGATATTCTCAAAGTAAAAGTAGATCATCTTTAAATAATTTCTATTGGCTTTGGCAAGTGTTATTCTTGGAGACCTTAAAGTTTCTGGAGAGTTACTTCTTATTTATCCAAAAAATTAAGGCCTGATGGAAAGCAGAAAGACACTCAGCAAAGTCCCTGGAGAAAACAGATAAAGAAACATCTACTCTCTGGAGTTTTTCATAAAGCATGTTTATCTGCTGATATAGATCCATCTCAACTGACTGGGGGTCTTTCATGTAGTCTGACTTTAAAAAGTGCTTGTATTTCTTTGAGAAGACTCATTATTTGAGGGTAGGTGGTGGGAAAGCGTACCAAAGGAAACACTGGGTAAAGCCAGTATAGAAATATACATACACCCACTATGAGGAATTACCTGGAAGAGGAGGATAATTTGGAGACTAACACTGACAGTGTGTTTACTTCATGTTTCTTTCTTTCCATCGCCTATGTTGCTGGAGGGCAAGAAGTAGGCTTTTTCTTTTTATGGTATCCCAAGCGTCACTACAGTGCTCAGCCTCTCTGGTGCTGACCCTGGTTTCTTTGTTAAATACTAAACACTTCCTAGTTCAGCCTTGCGGTCCTGGCATAATCCAAGAAGCCTTCTGTCCTTGCTTTTCCCCTCACTCTATCCCCAGTTGCACTGCATGTGGCCTTCCTAGAGCTGTGCCTGCATCACTCACCACTGAGCCACCAGTCTCCTGCTGGATCTTCAGCTGTAACTGAGTGACCCGCCGCCGGGCACCTTCCATCTGCTCTTCCAGTAGGCTGTCAGGGTTCCGGCTATAGTCCTCACAGATACGCTGGGGATGGGTGAGGAGGAGAGCGGGGAGGGGGAAAGGCAGAGGAGAGGGGTGGTTAGTAGACAATGGATGACTCACCAGTGGGGAGGACAGGCAATTATCCCAAAACAAAGAGGAGAGAGAAGAGGTCTCTGCCTCCAAATAGATGCACACTATCAACATTATTTAGGATGAGAAAAAGATGTAAGTGATGAGAAAAAGAACACACGAGGCAAGCAGTGAAAGACAAACACAAAGGCCTGTCCTAATCTGATCCATCCTTCAAGGTTAGCCTTAAGTCCCACATCCCAAATGAGGTCTTCTCAGCTACCTCTCAAGTATGAAATATTTAAATGACCGACCAGACCAGAACATAAAAAAGTGCTAAAGAGGGATCTTACACACAATGAGAACCAGGAGAAATGAGAGGAAGCAGCATCAACTAGAGCAGCCAACACCTCTGCCACTCCCATCCTCAGGAAGCTCCTGGAGAGCAGGTACCATCCCAGAGCTTATCTAGCACTCCTCAGGGCACGCAGCAGGGGACAGCACAGGGGCGGGGGGCTTCACAGTCAGGAACACCTGGCTTTGAATTCTGGCACCTCCACTGACTAGCTGTATAGACTTGGGCAAGCTTGAATACATCCTCATCGATAAAATGGAGATGACAGTACCTGCCTCATGGGATAGGTGTTAACAGTGGAGTGAGATTATGTATGTGAAGTGGTTAGCAGAACCTCAGCGCAGTCACACACCGGACTACATGGTAGCTATTAACAGGAGATGCTCCATAGCTTGATGGTGAAATAAAGACACTGGGTTCACATATTATCTAGGCTCATCTAGGGATTCACTATTACCTGACAACCATTTTACAAATTCCCATGTCTAATATTTCATCTTCTCCATGCCCATCAAGCCCCAACCCTTCCCTAGCCTCTGCAGATAATACTATCTGGTAAAAACCTTCCCAACTGTACTCCGTTTCAAAACATCTTTAGCCATCTTTTTTCCTGGCTCAGAAGAGAAGCGATGTCTAAATCTTTTACAAAGTGAATCCTTGGGCTCTTCTTGGACACTGTTTGCATATCTTCAAAGTCTCCTTTTTCCAATGACTCCTTCCCTTCATCCCACAAAATGTTCAAGTTTTCTGATTTAAAACAAAAATAAATAACCACAACAAAACTCTTTTGATCAATTCTGATGATTCTTCAAGCCACTGCCCCATTTGTTTCTTCTTTTCACAGCCAAATGTTTTCTTTTTTTCTTTTTTCAAAGGGATATGAGCCTGTGGTTTTCTGATTTTATTTTATTGTATTTATTTATTTAAATAGACACAGGGGCTTGCAGGTTGCCTAAGCTGGTCTTGAACTCCTGGACTCAAATGATCCTCTGCTTTGGCCTCCGAAAGTGCTGGGATTAGAGGTGTGAGCCGACACACCCAGCTCACAGACAAATGTTTCAAAACATTAGTCTACAACTAGGGCCCTGCACTTCTTTGCTTCACATATACAATCTAGTTTCTTCCCATTACTGCATAGGCTACTCTTTCAAAAATCAAATAACAAGTGGTATGATATTAGAGGTTGGTGCCATGTGCTGTAGAAGCACATATGTCCCAAAATTCCATCCTCAGCTCTCTCCTCTCTGCACTGGTGCTCTGGGTGAGCTCTTTCAGTCATCCAGTCCCAAGTTTCAAGTATCACCTTCATACTGAGGATATCCAAATCTCTATTTCAACCCAGGCTTTTCTCCTAAGTTGAGCCCTGTTATCTCCATATGCCTGGTGCCTGAATGGAGATAACATTATCTGGGCACCTTACACTCAGTATACCCAAAGCTGATCTTTATATCCTTCCCCTAAGCTCTGCTCCTCTCCTCTCTCACTCTGTTACTGGTATCCCTTGATCTACCCAGACACACAAACTTGGGGCCATCTTTTATTCTTTCTTCTCCTTGACCAATTGATAAGTTCTACTGATTGGCCCTCTCACATGTCTCCCACTGCTATCCCCTCCTTTTTGTTCTTAGTCCTCCTGTTTTTATTAAAACTGTCATTACTGCTGATCTACTGCAAAGCCTCCTAACAGACTTCTCCAAAGAACACTGGTTTGAAAATGTAATCAGCCCCCCACTCAAAATTCTTTGATTAATTCCAACAGACTCCAAAACAAATTCCAAGCTTCTCATGATATTCAAGGCCAGGAACACTTTCAGTCACGAGGCTCACTTTTTCTTTTTCTTTTTTTTTGTTTTGAGACAGGGTCTTGCTCTGTCACTTGGGCTGGAGTGCAGTGGTGCAATTATAGCTTTGCAGTCTCTAACTCCTGGGCTTAAGCAGTCCTCCCACCTCAGCCTCCTCAGCAGCTAAGACTGCAGGAATGCACCACTGTGCCTGGCCAATTTTTTAACTTTTTAAGAGATGTGGTCTCATTATGCTGCCCAGGCTGGTGTTGAACTCCTAGGCTCAAGTAATCTTCTCACTTTGGCTTCCCAAAGTGCTGGGATTGCAGGCATGAGCCACCACTGCTGGTCCCACTGCCATTTTCAACGTTCTAGTAACAGCAGACTGAGCCCAACTCAAATCCCTCATGAAGCCTTCTGATTATTGAATAAATCATTATGCCTTGTTTTGGGCTTCAAGAACATTAACTTTTAAAACTGAGCTATAATTCATATGACATAAACATGACCATTTTAAAGTGTACAACTCAGTGTGGCCTCTAGTATATTCACGGAGTTGTACAGCCACCCCTACTATCTAATCCAGAACATTTCCATAACTCCAAAAGAAAGCTGGTACCTGTAAGTAGTCACTCCCAATTTCCCCTTTCTCCACCCTCTGGCAACCACTGATCTACCTTCTGTCCATAAATCTGCATATTCTGGACACTTCTTGTACGTGGAATAATATAACTTATAGACTTTTGTGTCTGGTTCTTTCCCTTGGCATACTGTTTTCAGGGTTCATCTATGTTGTAACATTTATCAGTACTTTGTTCTTTTTTATGGCTGAATAAAATCGCATTGTATGAACGGACTATATTTTGCTTATCTGTTCAGCAGCGGATAAACATTTGGGTTGTTTCTGCTTTCTGTCTATTATTAATAATGCTGGTATAAATGCTCATGTACAAGTTTCTGTGTGAACCTATGTTCTCAATTCTCTGCGAGAATTACCTGCGAGTGGAATTGCTGGGTCATATAGTATCGCTGTGTTTAATGTTTTGAAGAACTGTTGAAATGTTTTCTGGAGTGCTTGCACTATTTTACACTCCCACCATCAATGGTGGAATAGATTAGGCTAGTGAATATGCAGACAAAACATAAATAAGTATTGCTCAGATTTCTCTCCATCTCACAGTGCTGGTTATTTTTCATTACTTTGGTGACAGCCATCCTAATAGGTGAGAAGTGGTAGGTCACTGTCGTTTTGACTAGCATCTCCCCGTGAAAAACAATGTTGGGCATCTTCACATGCTTATTGGCCATTTGTGTGTTTAGAGACTCTCTATTCAAATCCTTTGCAAGTCTTTAAATTGGGTTGTCTTTTTATTATTGAACTAAGTCTTTTACATATTCTGGTATGAGACCTTTATCAGATACATGAATTGCAATTTTTTTCCCCCATTTCTTCTACAGGTTGCCTTTATTTCTTAATAGTATCCTTTGACATCCAAAAGTTTTAAATTTTGATGAAATCCAACTAATCTTTTTTTTTTTTTTTTTTGGTTATGCTTTTGGTGTCCTATCTAAGAAACCACTGCCCAATCTAAAGTCATAAAGATTTACTGCTATCGAAAATTTTTTCTAAGAGTTTTATAGTTTTTAAAAATACTTTTGGCTTTTACATTTAAGTCTTTGTCCATTTTGAGTTAAATTTTGTTTACTGTGTGAGGTAAGGGTCCAAATTCATTAACTGTATGTGGATATCCAGTTGTCCCTGCATCATTTGTTCAAAAGACTATTTTTTCTCCATTGAATTGTCTTGGCACCTCTGTTGAAAATCAGTTGACCAAAGACGTATGGGTTAATTTCTAGAATCTGAATTCTATTCCATTGACCTATAGGTCTGTCCTTGAACAGTACCATCCTGTCTTGATTACCCCAACATTTGCCAATATATAAATATCAGCACTTATCATAATGTAGTATATCTTCATTCATCCATCCATATCCTATGGAATCACTAACTCATTAAAGGAGAGGTTCACTTCTTGTTTATCTTTGTAACCATTCCAACGCCACCTCTAACATTACTCCCATCTACTGCCCCAACACACACGCAGTACCTAGCATACAGCAAGAACTCAGTGCTTGTGAAATAAATACATGTATTTTTATATCTCTGTGCCTTTGACCTATGCTGTCTTTTCACTAGCATTCCCTCCCCCATCTCTCTTGCCTACTGAAGTACTGCTCTTCAAGGCCCAGCTGAAATATTATCCACTCTGTGAAGCCCTTCCCCATATTTCCCGTTATTAATTAACTGTGCTCTCCTTTGGTCTCTTATTGTAAGCTCTTTGTTCCTCCCACTCTCCCTCCTACTGTAATTTGAATTTCCTCCATTAGATTTTTAAACATGTTGAGGGGAAGAACCAGAATCTTTTTCATTTCTACAGAGCCTAGAAAATAAAACAATTTTTTTTTGAGACAGAGTCTCACTCTGTTGCCAGGGTGGACTGCAGTGGCGCAATCCGGCTCCCTAAAACCTCCTCCTGGGTTCAAGTGATTCTCCTGCCTCAGCCTCCCAAGTAGCTGGGCTTATAGGTGTGCGCCATCATGATCAACTAATTTTTGTATTTTTAGTAGGTATGGGGTTTAACCATGTTGGCCAGGATGGTCTTGATCTCTTGATCTGACGATTCGCCCACCTCAGCCTCCTAAAGTGCTGGGATTACAGGTGTGAGCCAACCATGTTGTTGGCCTGGCCAGCCATGTTTTGTATATGGCGGCACTTACACGTATGGCTGTAATAGGAATCTGGATATTCTACTCCAGCAAACTAATCTACTTACTGTTCTCTGTACACATCACTGCTAGGCCTGAAAACTCTCTTCATCCTTCACCCAAGTGCTCCCCACCTCTATCAGGTTGGCCCAGGACTCACCTGCCCCTTCCTTTCTTCTCTCTTTCCCTTCCTTTCCTTAGAAATCTCCCAGATAAACTCCAATGACTTTTTTTTCGGTCTACATATTCACTATCCTAACCTATTATACATGGAGAATCCTATTCATTCTACTGGTGAAGTTCTGCTTTAACAAATTCTACTGGCTAATGATAATTCTTTAGTGGTCCAGAAGTTTCACTTTTTGAGGTTTTACTGTGATGGGATATTGCCTGTAAATGAAGTTGTGCACACTGGCAGGCTGCTCTGAGAAAGTATTATTTCACTCAGGCAATGGCCAGTCTACCCTTGGCAGTGACCTTACCTGTAATTCTTTTTCTTCCTGCCTCAGCATATTCCTGAGGATCTGGGTGGCATGTTTTTGAACTTCGGGATCCTAGAGATGGAAAATATGGCAGTATAAGAGTTAGGGACGAACTCAATAGCTTAACTCTCTTATATCTGCTGATTCTTGGGAAAGGAAAGCTATGAGAGTAGAGCCTGAATCATAAGTATGTTTTATTCAGTACCTTGCTGGAATGCAGTAAACACAGATCTTATTTTGAGTTTATTCCTGAACTTCTAGAAACTTTGGCTGTAATCACTTTCGGCATCAAGTTGCTCCCTAAAGTCTCCCAAGACTTGGAGGTTTAGTCTTCATTCCAACTGAAAAATCCTGTTCCCTATACCTGTCTGCATCTTGTCCTCTTTTAACTCTTCACATAGGTGTTCCTTCCTTGCTTCTAGAGCTCCCTTTCTACTTTTTTGTTTTGTTTTTTCTTTGAGATGGGGTCTCCCTCTGTCACCCAGGCTAGAGTGCAGTGGCACAATCACAGCTCACTGCAACCTCTGCCTTCTGGCTCAAACAACCCTCCAACCTCAGCCTCCTGAGTACCTGGGACCGCAGGTTCCTGCCACCATGCCTGGCTAATTTTTTGTATTTTTGGTAGACACAGGGTTTTGCTGTGTTGCCCAGGCTGGTCTCAAACTCCTGAGCTCAAGTGATCCTCCCACCTCGACCTCCCAAAGTACTGGGATTACAGGCGTGAGCCACCGCACTGGCCTCTACTTATTTTTGTCCTCTTCTAATCCCTCCCTCTACTGAGTGGGCTCTGTACTTTGCACCTTGAAGCAGGCTTTTCTCTAGGAAGCCTTTCCCCTACACCTTGACTTTATACCAGACTCTGGTGAACACTGGCTGGCAATGGTCTTGAACAGATGCATTCTGTCCCTGCCGGAAGTGTGCACTCTCTTTCCGAAGAGGAGTACTTTTGGAGAGCGCCCTTAGAGTCTTCCACACACTTAGGAAACACACAATGTTGCTGTGTGATAAAAGCATATATGCATTTGCACAGAAGGAGGACACTGAGGCAGGGAACAACTGTTACTGTGCAGCGCTTGTTTGTGTCCAACTCTTTCAATAGTCTTCCATATGTCTTTTGGCTTGCTCTGCTTACCACAGCCCCAATGGATTTAACCTGCTTTCCTCCCCAATGCGGAGCTCTTCAATAGGACATGAGGGTGAGGAAAGAGAACAAGAAGGATCATTACCTGCAGAGGTCTGGGTCCTGTGATGCGTTGTGGAGGTGGTAGAGGTGGAGGAGGTGGCGGTGGGGGGATCGCTGGGGTGACTCGGGGAGCTCCTGCTGGGAATGGGTCCTGCTGAAGCCCAGGGATGCCCACGGATGAAGGTGAAGAGCCCAGGAGGGTGAGTGCGACATAGGCGCCAGCTAGAGGGAGATAGAGACTTGCTCCAGGAGTGCTGTTCTGGAGAGACAGTCCAGGTATGGTGGCGGGGGTTGGGGGGGGTTGGGGGGGCTGTTCTCCTTTGTCCTGTCATTAAGTTTATAATTCTGTAGATTAGGTTCTCCTCACTTTTAATGCCCTACCAGTTCTTTAATCCCTGCCTTCATGCCCTGCATGGACCCAAGTACCACTTCCTGCCCTTCCTTCATGCAGAGACCTCAACTAGAACTCCACTCATAAATATCTGGGATCACACGCCACGGGCTGCCTCAGCAGCCCCTTGTTTCCCCCTTTATCTCACTAAAGTAAGTAGCCAGTGTCACACTCTGAGCATACTGCCCACATGGTACAGACCAGGCACTCAGATTCTAGCCCTCTGCCCTCCCTAAACTTCCCACATTCTTAAATTCTTTCTTCAACATTTGTTCCTTCTATTTGAATATTTGTACAGACTCAAATTGTTGAGCCTTCCTGGCTACAAACAGATTATTGTTGCTTTTCCCTGCCAAATAGAAAACAAGTGAGTATGAATGTCCATGAATGGGAGAGGGAATTGAAAGGTATTTGAGGGAGACCTGCGCTCAGTAGGATATGGTCTAAACAAGAGTGGCAAAGATCGGTGTGGGTAAACATAAAGATATCTCATGACAGCCTAGTAGTGTCTCCACTTGAAATAATAGGGAATTGTGGCCATTCAAGTGGATCACTCCATGTTAAGATTAAAGATGCGACTTCAGCTGCCTCACACATCTACAAAGGAAACCTCCTGGGATGGTAGGTCCACCCTTTCCTCCCTCCTTTCCTCCCTCTCAGCCCATCTGCTCCCCTACTTTAGCTGTCACCTCTCTCCAACTCACATTTGATCAGCTTTACCACTTCCAGGTGTGAGCTATTGGTCACCATGGTGCCGTTGACCTGTTGGAGGGACAAACAATATTGAGTAATGGTGATGAACAGCTAGAGCATCCTTCTGTAAGTTCAAAACACCACTTCTTCAGGAAGCCATTTTCCAATGCTCTTTAGCGTCCTCTGGTCACTCGTTTACTCAGGTCACAGCATGAATTTGTTCTGTTCATATCTGCTATTTGTTCTGTCTCTCCAGCTAGCCTGCACGTTTTCAGGGATAAGACCTGTGTCTTCATTCCTTAATTTGTTCATTCATTCACTTATTTTTGGTCTACACTTTTTCCAACCATTTGTCTCACACACATGTGAATGTCCACTGCCCCAGTGTGCTTCCTCCTTACAGAGGACTAAGAAGTCTCTGCATCTGAAATTTCCTTAATGCTTCCCCAGTATGTTGCCCAGGCTGGTTTTGAACACCATTCTGTCGAAGAAAGGCCTGAACAACCAGGGCAGGTTATAGTAGTTCAGAATGGGCAAGGACCCCAGGTTGGCATTATATGGAGGAAAGAATATCAACCTGAGAATCAAAGTCTTGGGTCCTTCCATGAGTTACTACCCCTCCCTCTTAATCTTATTTTGGTCAGTTATGAAATGAGAATAATAAAACTTGTTCTAAAAGCTTGGTTGCTTTAGAGTCAAGAAGGTCCTAAAATACGGAGCACAGCTATCTTCCTCCTTGCTCTCTCTCTCACACTGTACCACACCGTGCTCCCTTGCATGGACCACTCCTAACTCAGTGGCTGCCTGGCAGTTGGTATCAAGATGAAAGTGTGCAGGATGGGGCAAGGCCAGGAGTGCCCTGCACATCTGCCTCCACTGCTGGGAGTGGGAGTGCATGTTGGGGTCACTCACTTTGATGATCCGGTCGCCCTCCTTCACACCGGCCTTCATGGCTGCACCTCCTGTAAGGAGAAGGCCTTGTCAGCAGAGCCCAACAACCTCTCCCAGAGGCCACTGAAGCTACACCAAGGTCCCTGTCAGATCACCTCTCCTCTGAAATTTCCTCCTATTTCTCTGTGTTAAGTACCTCAAATGCTGGGTGCACTTCCTATTCTACTTTAGAGACACAACTTCTTTTAAGCTAGAGTGAACTAACTATATAAGGTCCCATCTCCTGCTCTTCCTTCCACCTAGATAAGATGCTAGACTTCTGATAGCCAGGCCAAGGCAGGAGGCCGGCAGGGCCAGGCTCTGGGAAGAGCATGTGTGCTTCATTCTAATGTATCTGGATATGTTCCAAGGTCAAATATGAGTTATTTTTTATTATCCAGGGGGAAAAATGAGTTTACTGTATGAAACATAATTGCTAAAATAATTATTAAGAGAAATATGGAGAAAAGGCTTAAAACAAGAGTTTCCTAAGTCCTGAGAGGTTTTGTAAAATATTCTGGGGGTTCACATCATTAAAGATGATAATAACTTTTCTTTTAAAAAAACCTTTCTAAAGCCATTTACAGTTTTTCCCTTCCTTTTTTTAATAGACAGAGTCTTGCCCTGTAGCCCAAGCTGGAGTGCAGAAGCATGATCTCAGCTCACTGCAGACGTGGTCTTCTCAAGCGATCCTCCCAACTCAACCTCCCAAGTGGCTATGGGACTACAGGTGTGTGCCACCACGCCTGGCTAATTAATTAAAAAAAATTTTTTTTTTGAAGAGATGAGGCTAATTTTTTTTGTAGCCTAGTTAATTAAAAACAATTTTTTTTTGTCACTATGTTGCCCAGGCTGGTCTTGAACTCCTGTGCTCAAGTGATCCTCCTGCCTTGGCTTCCCAAAATGCTGGAATTGTAGGCGTGAGCCTCCATACTCAGCCCAGTCTCCCTTTAAAATAAACCAAATTAAGAGCTTCTGATGGCGACTGACTGAGGTGCTCAAAAGATCATGCTCTTCACTTTTTCAACTTGTCATCTGGCTGGAGGCTACAGTGGTTTTGATCACTATATATATATATATATTTTTTTTTTTTTTTTACACTGTCTCACTGTCACCAAGGCTGGAGTGCAGTAGTGTGATTTTTGGCTCACGCAGCCTTGACCTCTTGGGTTCAAGCGATCCTCCCACCTTGGCCTCTGAAGTAGCTGGGACTATAGGCATGTGCCACCACACCTGACTAATTTTGTTTTTATAGAGACAAATATTTTCACCATATTGCCCAGGCTTGTCTTGGATTTCTGAGCTAAAGCAATCCTCTCATCTCGGCCTCCCAAAGTCCTGGGATTACAGGCGTGTGTCACCATGCCCAACCTCACAAGACAGTTTAAAATGGCTTATATTCCTAGTTTAATTTACATCCAGGAAGCGCAAAAAGCATTAAAGCCAAAACAAGTTAATGAGAAGCATAAAAATTACATATTGCACATTTGCCCCAACGTGATCATTAAATCTGTAAGTTGCATTCCTCTGATCAAAACAAAACTCCCACAAAGCCCATCTAAACGTGTCTACTCTGAAAAGAAAAATATAGTGATGACTACATTCCAATTTGGCTTTTCAATCCTGGGACTCAAGACTACCCTCATCTAAAGTGTGCTATTTATGGAAGAATACTTGCAAATGGCTTGAAATTCCTGCTTATACATTCATTTAGAAACTAATGTTAAAGAGAACAGAGCTGTCTTGCCTGAATGTATGAAACATGTGAGGGGACTTCTAATAACTTAGTGATAAAAAAAACGAAACAAAACTAAACTCTTCCGAGTAAAGGAACTTGAGTAGAAGTTCTCAGACTTCAGCAAGCATGAGAATCTGTGCAGGAATTTTTAAAAAGTGTATTTCATGGACCTCTTGCCAGAAAGCAATTCAGTGCTTCCAAGGTCAGCTCCAAGAAAAAGGATTTCAATCATCTTGGGCGTAGGTGATTCTGATTCAGGCAGAACACAGATTATATTTTCAGAAACAGTGAATTAAAGAAACCTAATATATATCTGGAAAAGATAACTACTGCTTTGTTATTCTTGTGACTTCAATGCCAATCCAAATGAATGAAGTCTCTTCTACTCTCCTCCCCAACACACACATGCATACATGCATGCATGCACACACACTCACACAAACATAGTCTCTAAAACTCATATTCTCCTTGTAAGCCATCTTTTCCTTCTTTCCTCTCTGGGTCTGACTCTGCTCAGCCTAAGAGAAGGAAGAAGGTAAAGGAGAGCTGAACCTACACTTCACTAAAGGGGATCCCATATTTTCTGTACAAGATAGGCTGCAGAGGAAAAGTAAGAGGTATTGGCAGTTCTACTAACTCTGTCTCACCCCAGTCCAGGAACCCTGAGAAATAAGAAAAGCAAAGAATAAAACTATCTTTTTAGAGCGTCACCTCAGGATATGCAAAACAAATCTCCCATTGATATAAGTTCACTCCCAAACATAAGAAGCTATGCTTATTTATATCCTTATATGATCCACATATCTCACTTTGGTCACAAATTTGAAATTCTCTTTTCACCTTTCCTATGAACATAGCCCAAATCTTCCTCCAGAATCAATGCAAGTGTATTTTCCCTCCTCCTCTGCACCATCCCTAACGGGAAATCTACTCCCAATCCTTTCCTTGTGCTCTCGTCTAAGCCAAGCCTAGGATGCTCCCTGGCACCAGCCCAGTGCTACTTACTGCACTGAAGTTCACTCCTGTTAGGGACACTTCTTTACCCTTTAGGGAATCTTCCACACCCACCGTCTTTCTGACTATCCTCCTCAGCCTGGACCACTAACAATGGTTCCACTAGTTGGCACATGCTAGAGTTTTGACTGTTTTCACCCCTTCTATACACAAGTGGTAACTGGATGGATTTGGCTATGATGCCCACTCACTCTTTACTCCCTTCCCACAAATTCCTATTCTGCTGATTTGCTTTTCATTTCCATCTTTCAAACTACTTCGAAAATCCTTTTTTTAAAAAGAGGGCTTCCCAAACGATCACAAGGAAAATGACTACACCTCAAATCACAAACTACTCAAACTTCCAAACACCATTTCCCCCAACCGACATCATGTCCAGCATATATCATTCATCTGTTGGTAATTTATTATTTAATGTTAATTATATCAGCAAATGTGCTCTGTAATCATTTGGACTATTGTGCCTGTCTCAGGTTATAAACCTCTGTTGAAAGTGAACATCTGTGCACTTAGCCAGGTAGTATGGAGGTAAATATGAAGAAAGGGTGCCTTGGATTCTGCCACAGAATCTTGTGACCCAGTATGAGGACCTCCCTTGGATGGCAATCAGACATCTGCCTGATGATGACCTGACAGCTACTTTGCTGGTTTTTCACTTCCCAACCAGGAAAGCAAGCATGAGGTGCAATCTCTAGAAATTCTGCCTGGGGCTTTGCATTGAAGAGGCTTCCCCAGGCACCCATGGAGAGCCAGTTCTAGAGTAATTCATTTGTGCCCCACAGGAAAGCACAAGTTCTCCAAGTAGAGTGGCACTGTCACATACACGGTGGCTTTGCAAGAACTGTCCACTGTGGGCAGGACGAATGCAGCACTCACCAGGCCGCACAGACTGCACCAAAACAATTCGATCCCCACTGACTGTGAAGCCGAAGCCATGCTGGTCCTTTTGGATAATGACACAGCGTTGAACAAGACCTAGAAGGTGGAGAGAAAGGTTGAGTACACAGTGTCATTGGAAAGTTAGTGTACATATGCCAAGACCAACCGAGGGAAGCCCCAGTACGTTTCTTCTTCAAGAAGCCTTTTCACACTAACTTACTTCCCCAGACTATTCCTGTCTGAACACTACCGCATGCCTCCCTTGGTGGTTGGCAAAACCTGTATACTTTGTATTCCAAATAAGAAACTACCTGTAGAAACTAGGTAGACATGCCTACCTATAGAAACTACCTGTAGACATGCCTCCCTCGGTGGTTGGCAAAACCTGTATACTTTGCACTCCAAATAAGAAACTACCCTTCTCTGAGGTGCTAAAATGCTTGTCTCTCATGTACATGTCTGTGCCTTTTGGTGTGCCTGGGTGAGACTGGTCAAAGAAGGGGCAGGGCCAAGTTTAGCCATCCTCCTGAAGACTAATATTACCAGTTAGGAGCCTCCCAGGATTGAAGCCCAAGGGAGCCTAGAAGTTACATGTCAAGTGACATCCAATGAATGCAGCAAGTAGTACAGCAATGCTTGACTCTTCTTAGAGAGCTGGATAACTCATGCAAGGTGACTTAGGAGTGGTCTCCTGGCAAATCCAGGGAAGGATATACGACAAAAAAAAAAAAGGATACATGTCATGTAGGCTCATAAAGATATTCTGGGGGTTCACATCATTAAAGATGATCACTTTTATTTCTTTAAAAAAAACTTAAAAGCCATTTAGACTTTCTCCCTTCCTTTTTTTTAATAGAGTCTTGCCTTGTAGCCTAAGCTGAAGTGGACAGGTGTGATCTCAGCTCACTGCAGACTCGGTCTTCTGGGCTCAAGTAATCCTCCCAACTCAACCTCCCAAGTAGCTATGGGACTACGGATGCATGCCACCTCACCTGGCTAATTAAAAAAATTTTTTTTTTTTTTTGTAGAGATGAATTCTAACTATGTTGAGACCACAGGTGCCTGCCACCATGCCTAGCTAATTTTTTCTATTTTTGGTAGAGACAGGGTTTTGCCATGTTGCCCAGGCTGGTCTCAAACTCCTGAGCATAAGTGACCCTACTTTGGCCTCCCAAAGTGCTGGGACTACAGGTGCAAGCCACCGCACTGGCCTCTACTTGTTTTTGTCCTCTTCTGATCCCTCCCTCTACTGAGCGGGCTCTGTATTTCACACTTCGAAGCAGGCTTTTTCTTTAGGAAGCCTTTCCTCTACTCCTTGACTTGTACTCTTTTTTTTTTTTTTTTAAATACAGAATTATTAAAAAAAAAAAAGAAACAGAGGCTCTGACTATCAAATGTCTCCATTCCTGTGAGTGTACAGTAGACACTGTGCATATGTTTGGTATGTGTGATTGTATCCTGTACTGATTAAAGTGTGGGTTCTAGAGTTAAATCAGAACTGGTTTCAAGTCTTGATTTTGTCCCCAGTAAGCTTGTAAACTTGGACGTATTTCTTAACCTCTGTGCCTCAGCTTCCTCATTTGCAAAATACAGATAATAAAACCTAGCTTCTACTGTTGATATATGGAGGGAATTTATATAAAACCCATTAATACAATACCTAGTATATACCATGTGCTTAACATAAAAACTAAGTTGCTTTACATTTGGAGTATACTGATCTGTTTGTATGAGTGTATACCTCTGTCTTCATGTGCTGTTTTTTTTCTGAGACAGAGTCTTGCTCTGTCGCCAAGCTGGAGTGCAGTGGCGTGATCTCGGCTCACTGCAACCTCTGCTCCTGGGTTCAAGCAATTCTCCTGCCTCAGCCTCCTGAGTAGCCTGGCTAAGTTTTGTGTTTTTAGTAGAGACAGGGTTTTACCATGTTGGCTAGGCTGGTCTCCTGACCTCAAGTGATCTGCCTGCCTCGGCCTCCCAAAGTGCTGGGATTATAGGTGTGAGCCACCATTACTGGCCATGTGATTTTTTTTTTTTTTTAAAGAGATGGAGTATCACTATGTTGCCCAATCTGGAGTACAGTGGCTATTCATAGGCATGATCACACTACTGATCGGCATAGGTGTTTTGACCTGCTCCATTTCTGACCTGGGCCAGTTCACCTCTCCTTAGGCAACCTCGTAGTCCCTGTTCCCGGAAGGTCATCATACTGATGCAGAACTTAGTACAGATACCTGACTGGCATAGCACACTACAGTCCAGAGTTCTTGGGCTCAAGTGATCCTTCCATCAGCCTCCCGAGTAGCTGGGAAGATAGGCATGTGCCACCATGCCTGGCTGTGTCTGTATGTTAATGCCCAAGGAGGTTACCTGTTGTCTCAGAGGCATCCGAGGGCTGGCGATGGTGGGAAGGGGACCTGCGCTCAGGTGCAGAATCTCCCAGGGAAGACAGGCTACTTAACCTGGAGAAGGAGTAAGAAAAGCACGTCAATGAGCTGGGCAGGGAGGGACCATCCTTGTAGTAGATGGAGGCTCTGTCGAAAGGGGCCCTGAGTCTTGGATAATGAGAGACCCACCCACTCACCCACCCTGTAACCCAATCTGGCAGGACATAAGCCATGTGTACATCACTGGCAACACCACCTATCTGGCATCCTGGGCTGGCAAGGCAAGCATGATCTCTTTAATACCCAGCAAGGTGTGAAGGGAAATAACCCTTCCTGGAGTCAAGCGACAAAGAGAGAATAGCAAGAAGGGGATGTGCACATGTATACAAGCTTGTTGGGTCTTACCAGGCTGCAATGGGGCTGATGGAACAGAACGGAGCAGCAGAGAAAATGAATGCAAGAAAAAGACAGGAAAAAACCAAACAGCCAGTTAGTGTTAGGCGATGATTTACAAAGGAAGAGGAGACTGGAGGGAAGGACGAGGTGGGTCAAACACGTAGAGGCCTGCATGAGCGCAGCAGGGGCTGCAATGGCGGCAGCAGAGACAAGCTCCCCATTCAGCTTCATCTCTTTGTCCCTCAAAGTCCCACCTCTCCGTAACAGTGATCTCCAGGAGGGTAAATGGGCATGAGTACAAGCCCGCTGGGTAACTGGCAACTTGCACACTTTCTAGAAAAGAGGGTAGAGCAATGGCCCAAGCCTCTGAAAATTCCATTTACCCTTTGGGTATCATGGGGGAACAGGAATCTGGTCCGTTTGGTGGTAGCATTCCAGCCCCATATTCAGCTCTGTTGCCTCAGCCACCCTGAAGCACCTTGCTTAGAAACTATGAAAGACCCCAAACCTCCAAATGGTACAGATCACCAAAGGTTTCTCTGCTTGATCTCCTTTAACTGGGACCCTCCCAGGAATAGAAGAAAGTTCAGTAATTGCTGTGGCACTCCTTTTTGGAAAAGTGTACAAGTTGCAAGTGCCTGAATCAACAGTTGCTGCCCCTCAGAAAGGGGCAATTCCTATCCTACCTAGAGCAAATGACTAAGTAGAAGGCTACTCGTGGAAGCACCGTGTGTGATGACAAAACACTGGAAATAATCTAAGTGTTCACAATGAGTGACTAGTTAAATAAATTACAGTAATGCAATGACACAGAACTTAGTCATAAAAAAGAATGAAGAGGCTCTTTATACACAATAGAGAATGATCTCCATGATATGTTACTGAGTGAAATAAACAAAATATAGAATTTTTTTTGACAGTTAAAAAAAGTGAGTAAAAGGGAGAATAAAATTATGTGTTTAATATATGTTTAAATATTTATTTACATATGCAAAAATATCTAAAATATCTCTGGAAAAATACAAAGGAAACATGTAACATGATAGTCTCTAAGGAGAGAAAGTGGGTGGCTAGGGCACAGGAACGGAACTGCAGGCTTTTGTGATATTCTTTGGTACTTTTTAAGTTTGGAACCATGAGAGGATACAAGTAACTTATAAAGGAGGGGGTCTTTGTCCCTCCGACAGTGGCACCCCTCTTACCTGGACAGGTGAGACTGCTTTTTACTGGCTGATCTTTGGATCAGAGAGAGAAGGACATCAAGGAGGGAGAGAGCGTGGGGCCCAGGAGAGAGCGATGCAGGAGAGGAGGAAGAAAGAGAAAAACAAAACACTACATAAACCAGACAAGACACTAGAGATGGTTGGTTCAAATGAAAAACCACAACAGAGCCAAGTGTGACCCAGGGGAGGCACCTGGCACAACACAGCCACGAGCTTACCAACAGGCAAATTTACCCACGTCATTTTGCCACTGAAAACCTTTTAGAAACTCCCCGTGAACTCAGGGAACAGTCATCTGTCTTCAGCTAGGCCATTTGCCACAGCATCTAATGAAGGATAATGCCTGAGGCCCGCAGACGCACCCTTTGATGTTTTCCACAACTGCCAATATCTATCCTTCCTGCAGCTCGAATACCCAACTGAAAATGCTGTACAGGCAAAGCTGGAAGGTCTGTGAAAGCAGAGAGGGTCTTGCTGGGTATCCCCAGTGCCTGACGCAGTAGGGGCTCACACCTAATCTTGGTCCCTGCTCTTGACTGTCCTCCTTTCACTTGCTATGGTTTCTGGCTCTGTCTCCGCCTATGCTGTTCCTTCTTCCCACGTGTTCTGCCTGCTTTATTCCCTGTGACAGCACAGAGTTATCCATGCTGGGCTTGAACTCCTCCTCCTTCAGACCTAAAGAGAAAGCCCACCTCAGGCCTCCTTGTCTCGTGAAGACACCCCACCAGGAAGCTGGCTTCCTATGCCCATACTGAAGTCTAGAAGGTGCATTTGAACCTGATAACCTACTTCAGTTTGCATTTGAGCTGGGGCATGAGCAGTTTCACATAATCAAAGGCTAATGAAGCAAAGGTCCACGTCCGTGCTGCCAACAACTGTTAGGAGTCCATGTCCCTGCTGTCAACAACTGACAAAGACCATTTCAGCAGTCATCAACGTCTCTCTAAAATAAAATCACAGGCTAGGGCAGGTATGTGGGGGACAAGGAGATGGCAACATAAGTATACTTGCAACAGATGCAAAAAAAAATTTTTTTTTTTCTGAGACCTTAAAGGAGAGAAAACTACCATTGAACGGAAGGAGAAAGAACTGCCTACGGAAGTCAGGCCTGGTGGATAGAATCAATGGACAGACTGTTGTGTCAGCTGGGTTTTGAGTCTAAGCACGTGTTTGGAAGGAAGACCTCGAAAGGTTAAAAATCTGCGAAGCAAGGAAAGGAGAGAGGAAGGTAGTTTGGCCTGAAATGGAGGCTGTCATAATTTAATGGCAGGCCCTCCCTTTTCCTGATGACATTCTCATCCAAATTTGGCAGCAGAGCTCAGATTCCACTTAGCCTAAACCTGGGGGTATGGAGGTGGTCGTGGAGAGTGGAGAATTTCCCCCCAAATTTGCACTCTCTAAATGGTACTACTGAGACAGACTTTCTGACCCAACTTCTCAGTTATCCCCTACTGCCAGACAAAGAAACCTGTAGGTTCTTTATCATCTTTTCCCAGGGCTGCTCCTTTCTTTACATAATCATTGACACTCATCCCCTGAAGCCACATGTCTAGTGCCTCATGCCTGGATTACTGAAAAAAACCTCTTTTCCACTTTCCAGTCCATCCAGCACTCCACCATCATAGACTAACTTACCCAAAAACCACTCCCTCAGGCCCTCTCATCAAGAACTTGTGATTTCTCTCCTTCTTATCCACACAATCAGATGTGCCTGCAATAGCCTGGTATTAAGGGACTTAATCCTGTGGACCCAAATGTCTTTTCAGATTCACCTCTTATTACTTGCCTACCACCTACCTCTCTCTATCGAATCCTAAGCGATGCTGTGCTCATTCCCACCTGACTTGATGGTTACCATCCCTTCTCGTCTCTGTCCATCTCCTATTACTTTTTCAAGGTCCTGATGAAATCACTTTGACTCCATGAAGCAATCCCTGACCACCGCAGCCCACGTTTCATTTACCCCAACATTTTATTTTATTTTGAAAAATGTCAAACTACTTTAACATTGAAGCAGCAGCATGGTGAATGTCTATATACCCTTCATCCAGATTCAGCAACTAACATTTGTCGCATCTGCTTTATCTATGTTTACACATTTTTTCATTTGAAAGTTGCAGACATCATGACACTTCACCCCGAATTTGGCCTAAATCCCCTAAGAGTGTTGAAATTCTTCTATATAACCACAATGCCCTCAGCACACTCAATGAGTTGGAGACAGTATTATCTAATACATAGTACACATGCAGATTTTCCCAATTGTCTTATTAAGTTCTTTATAGCTATTCCCCAATTACCTCAATTCAGGAGCCAATTAATGATCTCAAATTATAGTTATGTCATGTCTCTTTTGGATTAATTTAATCTCGGCCCTCTCGGCTTTTCTTGGTCTTGTCTCTCATGACACTGAAGTTCTGCAGAGTCTAGGTGAGTTATCCTGTTGAATGGCCTACCATCTGGATGCATCTGCTCCTCCTCAGGGTTAGATTCAGGCTAAACATTTTTAAGAGACTATTATATAAGTGATGTTGGATGGCTTGTCCCATTTTGGTGATGGAAGGTTTGATTACTTAGGTAAAGTGGTACTCCTGAGATTTTTTTCAATGGTAAAAATCTCTTTTCTTATTTGAATTCATGAGAAATCTCTGGGATATTTTGAGATTGCATAAATACTGTTTTCCAACAACCTCTCATCCAATAGTTTTACTCTTCATAGATGATTCTTGCCTAAAGTGCTTATTGCATTAATGCCTGCAAAATGGCAATTTGCTAATTCTATCATTCCTTCTACACATATTAGCCAATAAGCTTTTGTAAAGAATGTCATCATCCCTTTTCTGGAGTATTGCTATGAATTCACAGAACTTCCCCCTCTCCCAAGTAATACATTATAGTCTATTATCCTTTTTTAAAATAAAAAATGTTTAAAATGTTTCCATTTGACCAGTGGGAGCTTCCGAAAGCCAGCTCCTGTGTCCTTTTAACATATCACCATCTGTCTTTGATCACGTCCTTGCTTTCTGGCACAAAAAGATGCTCCATGCTCACCTTGTACTTCCCCTATGCCAGACCTGGAATCAAACATTTCTCCAAGGAGCTCTGTTACTGTTAGCAGGAAATGCATTTGCAAACAAGATCTGGCTGCTAGGTACTCATTGCTGCTGAGCTGTCCCTCCTTCCAGGACCTATTAATGGATAGAGCTAGAAAAATTTATTAAAAAAAATTTTTTTTTTTTTTTGAGACGGAATTTTGCTCGTTACCCAGGCTGGAGTGCAATGGTGCGATCTTGGCTGACCGCAACCTCCGTCTCCTGGGTTCAGGCAATTCTCCTGCCTCAGCCTCCTGAGTAGCTGGGATTACAGGCACGCGCCACCATGCCCAGCTAATTTTTTGTATTTTTAGTAGAGATGGAGTTTCACCATGTTGACCAGGATGGTCTCAATCTCTTGACC